TCAATATAACCTCTATATGTAGCCGGGTCGTCAAGAGAAATAACGGATAAAAAGGCAATCACAGCAGAGAACATTTACAATCACAGTACGCGGGAGCGAATGATTTTTTTGTTTGTATTTTAGGATTGTCAAATTGACATTTGGTTTTTTATTTAGAAAAAGCAAAGGAATCATGGTATTTACAGTCACTTGAGTAATATTTTAAGTAAAATTCTGTCCCTTGAAGATTTAGGGTTTCCATATCAAAAAATATTAATCATTATATAACTTCTTTCCACGATTCACTAAAAATAAGGCAAAATTAGTTTTATGTAGCAAATAATTTTGGCTTCATTTTGAGACCAAATTCAACTGTATACAAGTTTAGCATTTTTTCTATGAAAAGTGCCGGATCTCCATTGTACAGAGGCCTAGTACTTTGGTGCGCTAGTGTAGCTATGCGCAAACATACTCTCTCCACTTTCTTCCAGCGTTCTAATTACATGACGTGACTAGTAACTACATACTAAATAAAATATAAGCAACACAAAAAACACGTAAAAAAAATATCTAGATAGACAATAATATGCTGTTTATGACAACTTTTAAAACTTAAGGCGCCTTACTCATCGGCTCGGTACAGGTTCGTTTTGTTTGCGGGAGTGACTGTCAGTGGTAAAGTGACGAGAACATATGTAACTGTTTACAGTTGGAGTCAAATCTTTACGTTTAGTTGCACTTATCCAAAGTTCCTTCATCTTGGCACATTTTGGAAACCTATGAAATAAATAAAACACGTAATGTTACTGTATTTTGATTCTCGCATCAGTCTGTAAGATATCACCTTAAATATCTCTTTAAAGATTTTGCTCGTTGCTGTTCTCGTGAAAGGCACATGCGATATACAGACTTAATGAATTTAACATTAATACGGTGACGTCCGTGGCTCTTGACTTAGCACACGCAAAATAACCTAAGTATAACCAAATTATTGATTTTGAAGGAACTTGGTAAATACTTATCAAATTTTATGCTAGCTACCACCCGCGACTTCATCCACGTTAACTTTAGTTTTTTGAAAATCCTAAAGAAACCTGACATTTTTCCGTTATAAAAAGTATTCTATACAACGATATTTTATACCCTAGATACGACAACATGTACAAAATCGTGGCCGAAACGTGACCAAAAGGTACATTTGACGATTCACAGAGGTCCGTAAGATGATCGCGTGGTCAAAATCAATGTAATGCATTATTTAAAAAAAAGTCACCTTTAATGCATACGGCATAAGCTCTTAATTAAAACGCATGCATCAAAGATTTATGGCAGTTCAAAATGCAAGTTCCTAAAATTTTACGACTTATTGTTACATGCGAAAGAAAATAGACCTTATTTTTTTTAACTTTTCGCGCTCAATTCTGAATGTGCTGTTAGCTATTATAGCAGGTACAGACCGCGAAGAAAAAAGACGGCTATAGGGCGACGTATAACCGACCATGCTTTTGAGTATCACAAATATGTTATATTAAATCAGTTTATAGTAAGTATTACAATAAAATTTGCTTCAAATGCGTTAAATTTATAATAATAATAAAAACGTTTATTTGGCTCAAATTATATAAATAACTTATTGTATTACATAAAGATGACTATGTACCAAATTATAAAAACATTAATTAGATACCTGTCGAAAAAACAACACTTTACGTACTATTAGTATTTTTTTCGCAGTTTTACGGAGCTCTGCGGCTTTTTGACTTTTCATCGGTCCGCGCGTGACTGTAAACCAAGAAGTGCTTGAATAAAGTTTAAGCACTTCTTGATTGGGACACATTTTGAGCGCTCGTGGTCTATCTAGGGTATTTAATATCGTTAATTCCATGTCTTTATCTAGGTCATAAAGTATGCGCACTTAATTTCATACAAATCGGTTTAATCGTGTAATAGTAACAAACATCCATACAAATTTTCGGGTTTAAAATTTTAGTACGATATGATTAAAAACTGTTGGTTGTATACTCATGATATCTGTTATTGTATACGATGAAATAAATAGTTTTTATTTATTTTTTCTATTTCCGTAGCTGACAAACTTATCGATAAACTTACGGGTACAGACATGAGCTGCGTCAAGTCACTAGCAATACACGTGCCGGTGTGAGAGCGGAATAGCATAGATGATGTAGCGCATGCGAGAAAGGGATAGTGTTAAAAGACATCAACGCGTTCACCAAAAAATAAATACAATTAAAAGCAATTTCATATAAGAGTATTTTTGTCTTTTTGTAATGCATTTAAACTTACCGGTGAAAAGTAATACCATCTTTTTGAAGACTGGAAGTTTTACTCCACTTTCCACATAATTTAATTGCACAGTACGGCATTTTTTCTAGTTTTTTAACGCAAAAACGAGAGAAGCACTTCTGCTAACGGTCGGCTTCGGAATGAAACGATGTATAGCGACGTCTGTGGGCGTGTCTCACGCATACGTAATATACTACTTAAGCTTGGCGTAAGCGCTTGCCCTTGTATGCGGACTCTAGTGGGGGTGCTCCATGGTTTGTTATCTCTTTCTAAGGGTGACCATGTTGGAATATACGTTTAGGATACATACTTACTGGTATCGTCTTTAAACAATTTATAAATCAAAGCGTTGGAGTTGATAGGAACTTGGGAACACATTATTTAATAGTAATAAAATTCACAAGTACAAAAATCGTTTTATTCATATTAGATGCGTCTTATATTATGCCATGTCAAAAACATTTATAAAAAAATTAACGAGAAAGAATATGCAAACCCTTTTTAAAATCGCCAGAAATGCCTTTTACTAAGAACGGACTAGAATCTCTAAGCTACATATTTTGGCTGATAAATAAAATTGACCTTTTAATGGTATTGTTACGTGTCGGGATGGGGTTCGAAATTATATGCCAGTTCACGATTGACAGTTCTTTATTCACCACACAGTTCACACAATTAACACACAATGTTAATTACAAAACACTCACTAAACACTGTATTTCACTATACAAGTCTCTAAACAATCTCACTTGAACACTTTTATTGCACTTTGATCGCCTTTGGATTCGCTCCGAAATCGCTGTTGAAACTCAACTGTCTCTGCGCGGCGCCAATCGCCCTTATATACGCCGATCGATGCATTCTAGAAAGTAAATAAATAAATAAATATTTCCAACACTCACACCAATTAGCCTAGCCCCAAAGTAAGTACTATAAGGCTTGTGTTATGGAATACTAGGGTAACGGATAGAATACATAAACTGTACTTATATATATAAGTATATTTTTTTTTATAGAAATACATATTAAACATCCATGATTGGAGTACAAATGCTCGTATTCATCACACAAACATCTGTCCCCACCGGGATTTGAACCCGGGACCTCTCGAGTCGGCGACACCATGAAACCCGGCGTACAAACCACTCGACCACGGAGGTCGTCTAAAGTCGAAGTTCTAGAAAGTACCTGTTAAATTGAGAATTACCTAGCACCCGCGAGTACGAAATACCTACTTATACCTAAGCAAGTAACACGCATAACTTGTAAAGAAGTGCAGATATCGTTGCACTTTCTCCTTTACGTCGCACTGCATAAGGCTCATTTTAGAATAAGCCGCCTTACTCGACTTCTATTGCGACCCGCGGTGCTCTGGCTAATTCGATCTCTAGCACATTCGCGGTTCCGTTTCGAGAGCGTTTGTGACAGTATAATGGACAACCAAGAATTTCTTTTAATGATATCTTTCGGGAAGCTGAAACATAAACAAAGGTATAAGACCGCTGCTAGATAGCTGTTATTAAATAGGTTTTCTACATCTAATCAACATGATCTACTACAGTATTTATTATAAACTTATTTTCATATTTTGAACTTTATAATTACTATTTACAATAATACTTATGTATTTTATCTTTCTCAAAATATCTCAAGTGTAGTGATAATGGTTACCCTACAAAACTAAAATTTATATTATTTTAATTTAATAAACTGCTGAATATGGTACCAAATGTAGTGAATAAAACAAGAATAACGTTAATTTATAGCGTCAGGACACTATGATTTATAAATACTAACTTTTTATTATGATTACAACATAAAAATATAGGAATATGTTTATTTCGGTATTGGCGTAATGTAATAGACTTACCTGTGAAATTTAGTGCTGGAATTTGGTTCCCAAACACTTCTGCAATCTCACACAACACAATACATATTATAAATAGCAAATTGAACAATTTAACACTTTTTAATAATAATCTAAACATTCGAAGCGGTACATTTTTTTTGACAGATCGGAGATATTCTTCAGTTGATTTTTTAATTAGTGTTGCTATTATACCAAATTGGTAGCAACCAGCAAACAGGGAAATAAAGGGCGTATTTATTATTTAGTTTTAAATATTGATTTCAAAGTAGTTGGTTAGAATTTGTCACACTCATCTTATAATAGTAATACAAGAGTAGGACTTCTGGAGATTGTAAAACTGATTGATATCTTGCATAGTTCTGTTTATTTTCACTTTCTGATTGGAATTTCTTGTATTTAACATGGTAATTTCAGATAGTGTGTGAGAGAGATAAAAAACATATCATGGGGTTAATGAACTCATCTTCACACAGAAGTTCTACATGCAATCTCCAGTGTTGTATATAAGCTTCTTGGCTCGTGATTGCACATTTGAATGTAGTAGTTACCTCCCCCCCGCCCCGCCAGAATTGACAGGAACTTTCGTACGGAATGAAGTGCTTAGGGCTACTCCCGCATAATAGATATTCAAATATAAAACTGAAGACTAGGCTATATGGGCATTGTTCATTTAGCCTTCCCTGAAAAGGGAGAACATTAAAAAAACTTACAACCGATAATCACCGGTTTTCACAAAAACGGGTTGTTACGTTGTTAGTTTTTTATTAAACAGACTGATCTCTAACTAGTCTGTGACAGACTGGTTCGCATCACTATGCCATTGCCAACACTGTGCGTTTTAATTTATTAGAAAAATATTTTTCTAATAAATTAGGTACCTGCATGACAAGACAACGCAATTAATTGTAAATATAGCAACCAACTCACATAATAAATGAAAGCACATTTTGGCTTTGTTAATAAGTGCATTTTTTTCGTTAGGTCTATTGTTTTGAGTTGCTATTACCAATCTAGAAATAAAGGAGCAAACCTTTAAATAAAATGAATAACGTTGACACGGGCGAGCTATTGAATTTCCAAGATTATTCACCGGAGCACAATGATCGCAGTGCCCGGATCGACGTGGAAGCAGTGCATACAAGTCAATACAGCAGTTCAATGTCCAATCCAAATTATGCCTTTGAAGAGCCCAAGATACCTACAGATGAGCCTGTAGCTGCTCCTCAATGTAAGAGGTTTTTTATTTTAAACATAGAATCTCAATATTATGTAAAAAACGTTTGGTAATTATAGGAAAAAAATATAAGGATGATTCAAAAGAGCTTATTTAAGTCAAGAAGCCAACCATAATAAAGTTTATTTTCATTTCATTAAAATTGAACTCAGTCAATGATTCATCTCTCACAACACCTCAGTCTTGCTTTTTTGCCTATCAATATGACAGGATAAGGACCCAAAATATATTTTCATTACTACTACTGTAAACAAACAAGCCATTTAACAAAGAAGAAGGCAACAGACACATCATTAGTTTCAAATGTACTGTAACTTTAGTACACATTTTTAACTAACCCGATTCCTACTATATTTTATGTAGTCCTATAAATGCAAGTTTATCTGGGTGTTTTTTAGTGTTTCCCACTAAAATGGCTGAACAGATTTGTATGAAATTTGGCATGTATATAGCCATAGGTTACTTTTTATCCTGAAAAATGTTAAGATCCTCTGGGACTCAAAAAACTAACATGGACACCGATGAAGTGGTGGGTGGCGGCTCCTAGTACATAATTAATTAATTATTATAATGGTGTTGACTTTGGCATGATTCTTTTTAGTGTATCTTTGTCATTGTCTTTACAGAAAGAAAAGGAGAGACTGATGTTAAATTTAGTTACAAGTTTAGAATCACACCAGAATTGACACATGCCAAGCACGGCTGATGCAGTATCTTCACATTCTGGACTATTTTCTCACAAAAAGATAGTGGGGTGGAGCAATTTTTTTTTGCATATAATATTTTGTACAAAATCTAAAGTCAATTTTTGAAATCTGAAGTAATTTTGCTGTGTTAGGGCCAAATATATAGAGTAGACAGTGTCTTTTCTGTCCATCTGTAAGGGCTGAAACTGGAGTATTTGCATTGCCTAGTTCACTGTCTCTCTGTAAGACTTCCACCTGGTATAAAATTTTAAGCAGTTAATCTCACAAATTGTAATCTGTTTTAGCTAACCATAACTTCTGGACAATTCAATATTATCAAAAATACTTTGATGTGCAAACAAGTGAAGTGGTGGAGCGCATTATATCTTCAGTGCTGCCACAGAAAGTGTCCAGGAATTATTTTGATGAGAGGATAAAAGGCAAACCTGACTTGTATGGTCCCATATGGATTGCTGTAACATTGGTAATTAGAATTAATCATAAAAAAAATGATTTGATATTACTAAGAAAAGATAATCTTTATCAGTATTGTGATAATTGTAACTCTAGAATTACTGTTAATAATAAAAGTACCTAATTCCTAGAGTCTTGTAACAGTCATAATAAATAAAAAAAACATGAATATGAAAATTTGGTTTGTTCTTATTGCAGATAAGCACTGTTATTTTTACATTGTAGTTTTTATATTTATTGAATTGTATCTCTCCATTGACTTCCAATTTTTTGGTAACAGATATTCACCATAGCTGTCAGTGGCAATATAGCGAGCTACCTTCAAAACACTAATAAACTACTGGAATGGCGATATGATTTTCATATTGTTTCTATTGCTGCAACAGCCATTGTATGTTATATCTGGCTTGTTCCACTAGCTTTGTGGGCTGCTCTTAAGTGGACAATTGTTCCAGATGACCAGGATGAAATTGAAACACAGGTAAAACTTTTTCTTTGGCATTATTTAATATGAAAAAATATTAATCTAGTGTAAGGAATTAGAAATAAGTTGGAATACGAACTGCGCTAAAAAGTAATTCCACGCTAACTGCTATCAAGTGGGATGGGGAAAAAATTGCTATCAACACGCCAATCAAGGGATTGATTGGGATTTCTTTTTAACATTATCGTACACAATGAATGGCTAGCCGAATTCATTGAAAATATTTGATTTGTAAAGTATTTTGTATTGCCTATGTGTGTGTTTCGTTAATATTGAAGTTAAGTTGTATGAGGTTTGGAACCAGGTTTTAGTCACCTTTGTTAGAGAGTAATGCCTCCATATCATAATTTGTTGCCCTAGTTATATAAGCTAACACCAGCCATCATTATATAAGTGCTAGGCTGCTTTATTCCCATGAGTATTAGTGAGACAAAATTTGGTGGGACAACAGTCAAAATACAATTAAATAATGCACAAATTTCTTTTTTACAGGCATCAAAATCTCCATCAATGATTTCTCTTTTCTGCTTATACGGTTACTCTCTCTCTATCTACGTACCTGTGGCCGTACTCTGGACCATCCAAGTATTCTGGCTGCAATGGCTGTTTGTTATGATGGCAGGGTTCATATCTGGGGCAGTACTTGTGTTCTGGCTCTTGCCTGCACTAAGAAAGTCTAAGTATTTCATAATTTTGGGAGGCTGCATATTAGGATGTCACTTCCTTTTAGCAACAGGATTCATGTTGTACTTCTTCCATACACCGAATAGCACCATCAAACCCATAGAAAATATCTCTACGTCTCTTAAACCAATATAATCCGCTAAGATGTTATGTGATAGTTTTTTATTTATTATATACTTAAGTCATAATTTGTTAAATTTTATTTAATAATGTATAAAACAGCATTTTCAATTTTTGTCTGCACAATATGCACTTTGTAAATAAGGCTAGTTTAAATCCATGATAAAATGTATGTTTTGGTGTCTGAAATATTTTATTTATAATTACCGGTAGTTTCGTCAGTGAATTATCAACAAGTGTCAAACTTTAGATGGAAGTCCAGAAAATTTAAAGTAATAGTACATATTTATTTTCAAACATTCCTATATCGACAAAACGTGACTTATACTGTGTTATAATTCCTATTATTAAGACTTTGAAATAAAACATTAAATTATGTATATCACATTGTTTATTATTAACGTAAAAGTGCACTTCGACATTATTTTTTCCTGATATCGTCTAAGTTAAACACAGGTAGTAATTGCTATAATTAACTATGATACAATATTTACAAAAATAAATACACAATTCAGTAAACAGTTACTGTGACTGTAAAGGCTTATATTGTCGTAGGATGTTTTGATAAATCGAATTTTCGCGAAAATCCTAGGGATTTTGCGATCCGCAACGCGAGTCGCCTCAGCAAGATTGCAAAAAGAATCGTTGGATTATTAAAAATATTCTTGGGGTTTTGGGTTTACACTGGGTCACGTTAGCGTTGTGACCATGCAGAAAAAAAATCATTTACAAGTAAGATTGAACAATTATCCAAGTTTTGTCGTAAAATCCCTAGGATGTTCCCAATATTCAATTTGTCAAAGCATCCTACTACATATATAAAACAAAAATTAATTACATAAATCAATCGGATACAAGATAATCTCATTCCTAACTAAGAACGGGATCTGAGAAAGAGATATGACAAAAGGTAATTTCATTCCCAATTAATAATTGAAAGCGATTGCAGGAGTAAGTTACACATTAAGCCCAAGATTCTATACATTTTTTATATCAGTCTGCCAGAGAAAATGATTTGAAACTTTTCAGCCACGGTTGCTTATGGAATGATATGGAGGTTTCTTCGGGCGAAACTTGGAATGTACTAGTAAGTTCGGTTAGCATGTTTCCTGTAAAGAGAAAATATAATAGATGTTAGCTACTGTTTTTATATGGAAGCCGGAAAAAAGCCAAAATTCTAAATTAAATTATGCTCCAACGCTGGATTGGGAGCTAAAAGAAATACAGAATAGGACAGCTGGCTTTCATTATAGACGCCATAGATATCGTATTAACTGCACGAAAGCGGCACAAAAAGTATCTACTACATATAGTAGATATGTTCGTCGCTACATACGCACACATTGACTGCTTTAGTTAAATCTGACAGAGTCACGCACACATTAATAATAATAAATAAATAAATATTTCCAACACTAACATCAATTAGCCTAGCACCAAAGTAAGCACTATAAGGCTTGTGTTATGGGATACCAGGGTAACGGATAGAATACATAACTGTACATATAAAAAATGTGTGTGTCAGCTCCGACGCATGACCGGAGTTTACACTTTAAAAACGATTGTCTTTGAACATACACAAAACAAAATCAGGTCCGAAGAAGTCGGTTACAAGGAGAGATACACCAAAAGCTAATAAATAAAAGCGTATTAAAAAACAAATTACATAATTTTCAGAATTTTTATAATAAATAAATTAGATAATATGAAAAAAGTATCTTTTTATTTAAATTCACATTCATAGCTTTTTAAAAATGCAACATGTAAATTTTTAAAATTACTTTTTTACTATAATTTATCAATTTGAGAGCTGTTGATGGGTAAATTTGAAAGGGTTCTGCTTATAAATAAGTGGAAATTTTCAAAAAAATCGCTTCGTACGTCCGTAAATAATAGAATTATCTACCGACGTCCGAAGCGCTGTTTTTTTGAAAATTTTTATTTATTTATGAGAGAAACGATTTTGAAGTTCTCATTCATTGTGAAAAAACGATAGAGACACTTTCATTTGCTCAAAAGAGAATAACAGAGAAAAAAGACTAAACCTTTCTTAAGAAATATTGTTTTACGTCAAAGTCCGCTAATCATTTATTATAGAATTCGCGATTTATTTTATCGATCGATTCTTTTCAATAGATATCAATTCAATCGATTCTATCGTTGAAATATAACTATACTCCTTTATTGTCGTGGTTGAATGACGCTGGCTACACACTAGTATACACACACACAACTGAAAAGTGAAAGGTGCGCAGATGAGGTTGCGCACAAAAACGTAACGAGGTCATTTGTTCAGTAGATTTTACTCCTCATATTTTTTTCATACCTTATATAAAAATCAATTCTTAAGGAGTAAACTCCAATAAGTATATTTATATAGAAAATACATATAAAACATCCATGACTGGAGTACAAATGCTCGTATTCATTACACAAACATCACACAGTCGGCGACACCATGAAACCCGGTGTACAAACCACTCGGCCACGGAGGTCGTCAAATTGCACGAAACATGGGCTGTTTTTCTTGTGATTTTTTGGATTACTCTATCTAGGTTTAAAGACAGCTGGCTTCTCCAGGTGTCCATACTTATATATAGTAAAAGCTATTAAATCAAATCAAAATATGGTTTGATGATGCGTTTTTATTATAACAACTTAGGAACAACGTATGAGATTTCCTTTTAATTTATTTATCCTCCAAAATAGCGAATTGCGGAAATTAGAGCGAGCAGAGGAATGTAGAAGTAGAGGGTTTTCCATAGTCGAGAAATCAATATATCTTTATTCAAATTGGATGTATAGTACAACTCTTTTGAATGATGTAAATACTAATGAGTTTGTAAATACCAATTCCGCACGAATGTCATACAAAGTTTGGAACACATTTGCGAGAAAACAGTACCAATAACTAATTTGAGTAATGAAGCAAACTTTTTGAAAATATCCTAAAACAGCTCGTATTTTTTATGTAAAGAGCGCTGCACCTGAGATACAGGTCTCCTAGTTCAGGTGCAGATGTATTTTTATGCAGTTGAATGATTGTTTTATTATTGTAAGATTTTATAAAACATTATGTATAATTTTTATGGTGCCACTTTATTATAATATTTTTTTCTATCAAGAAAATGACGCCATGTGCGGGTCATGAAAATAAGAGCTCCATCTTTCGTCTCTTTCACTTTTTCGTATTTAAGTGAAACAAAGTGCTTTCAAGGAGGTTTCATTGAAATAAAAATATACTGTAAAGGATACGCACGGCGCCATGTTAGGGAGCATGCGGTAAAATGTTTTACCGCACGCTCCGTTGTACGACCCGTAGTTTTGAACTTTCGAACAATGTATAGGTACAACCTCCGTAAATGTTTGAAAATTTAATTTTTGCTTTAGTTGTTTTTACTGAAATACACAACAGAATGATGAATATATCTAGATAGATAAAAAGTAGATACTTTTTATGGATTTCATAAACATTAGTTAATAATGTAAGATTGTTTTATAAAACTTATTAAATTACCTATTTGCATATTTGAAAACCTGTTTTTTGCATATCTAGGCGCGACCACTGGTTGTAAATAAAGGTTCTTACCACATATTTCTTTATGGTCGAATTCTTTGAGGATCTCGCACAGATCTATGAAATGCCCCTCGTTGTGACTCAACTGGGAACTGAACTCCACGTCCCTTAATGTGCATTGATACAGAACTTGCACACCGCTGCGGCATACGGCTAACAATTGGCGATTGAAGGTCATATCTTCTGAAAATAGAAATAATAAATAATAATTTCTTACCCTTTCTTTATATAGATAGGACTGATTGAATTTTACATGCATATCAAAACATAATTTTAAAAGTGACAACAATAAGACCTAAAGCTTTAGCTATTCCCAAAATTTGAAAGTATTAAAATACGTACTAAATTGAAGAGTAGGTAATGACAAAGCAAATAATTTTACGTTGAAAATGTGAAATTTTGTATACAGTCCGGTTACACCGGCATCTTTGATCTCCATGAAAAGTTTTAGTAACATGGGTTCATTTGTTTACCTTTTGTTTCAGGTGAAGTTAAATAGAGTAAAGGTGTTGTATGGCGCAGTGTTAGCGATAATGACACTTAAGAAGCAGGTCATAAGATGGGTGATCAAAAATGTTTTATTTCAAACTTTTCCATGCCTCGGAAAGTAACCTAACACTCGAAAATACAATGGATTTATAGGAGCGATTGCGTGCAATTTCATCACACGTATATAAACATCTCTAGCGCTTACGACCAGCGTGGTAGTCAAGGAAGTTTCGCAATGGTCGGCCATTGGATGGGTGACCAAAAACTTATTATCTCGTGCTCCTCCGTGCTTCAGAAGGCACGTTAAGCCGTTACCGGCTGCATCTGCAGTCGTTAGCCGCACTGGGTCCGCGTGGGACACGGGCCCATCTCCCTATTCCTTCCATAGGGAAGGCCTCTGCCCCAGCAGTGGGGACCAATAGGCTGATGATGATTTTGAAATATCTTTCAACCAAAGAAAATTTTACTAGATAAAATTCCACACGGAGCAGGCAGCAGACGGGACTCGAACCAGCACCCTCCGCTATCCGGGCGGATGTACTGACCATTATGCGGCTGAGGCTCTAATGGCCGTGTCGAGTCCTGTCTGGTCCGCGTGGCATTTTTAATAGTATAATTTTATTTACATGTAAAACATCAAGCATTTAAATACAAATAAATAAAAACGCACATAGAGAACATCAGTCCGCGTTGCGCGTACGATCCAATATAAAGAAGTATTTTCTTTCGAAACGTCTTCTCATATACTCAAATTTCAGTTAAAAAAAATAAGTACAGCACAACGTAATCTGAGATTATATAGGCTCGACTGCAAATAAACTGGGCCAACAGCTAGTACCTTGAACTCTAATTCGATTTTTTTTTAAAGTATAAAACTTTATCTATTAAAGCTATATCTACAGAAAGTGTGTTTCATAATTATTAATATGAGTAAAAATTTATTTTAAAGTACTGTCAACTTACTTTGTAATCGAGCAAGAACAGCAATGCCAACCATTTGCTAATTTTTTAATAAAGTCGCAATAGGGTATTTGACAAGTTTTAGAAAACGATCTCACTTTATTGATTAATGTTTATGGAGTCCATAAAAAGTGGATATTCATCATTCTGTTGTGCATTTCAGTAAAAATAACCAAATCAAAAACACCATTTTCAAGTTGCCGCGAAAACGTTTCTCTGGACAATATGGCGTCTTATTAGTGTGTGACGTCACACGACTGTTATTAAAACGTCAAATGATACAATGTAATGTCACTTAACCGGAAGTTTACTTGCGTGTGACGTCATTTTAGGCTCCGTCAAACCCAAGCGTTTTGGGTCACGTGACAATAGATAAGAAAACTATTATCTTTTTCGTTTTTAGTAAAATTTAGAATATTTATTTTGTAACAATAGTAAATTCCCCTGACAATATTCATTCTAAACACAGATGCTAACAATTGGCACTTTATTTTTAATATTGTCAAATACCCTTTTATCGTTCTTTTTTATAAAATGAAGAATATAATGAATAGTCTTATACTTCTTATCATTTCCTTAGTTTTTCTCCATAGTTTTCTCAGACGTGAGTATTTTGGCTTTGTTCGTTACTTCCGAATACCACATTTGGAAAACGATTCTTCCTTGGCATTTTTAAACAATAATTTAACTAATTGATAAATCTCAATAAATTCTAGTTCATTTTAATCACCACGAAACGCACTTTCTTTAGTTATAATTTTGATAGTTGTAAATTTTATACTTTTTGAGAAAATCAACTTAGGAGTTCCGTGGTAGCAAGTGGCCCACTTTATTTGCAGTCGAGTATATATAATGTACTTCCATAGCGTGCGCTTCTCTAAAGGTACAAATGTTCGTACACTGTGTGCGTTGAGTCCGTGTAAAGCCCTCGGCGGACATTTTCTTCACGATTCAAGGACGCTTGTCCTCCGCGGGCAAAAGTCCTACGTCCGCGCAGGCCATAAACATATTTTTTCATACTTGCTTACCTGCATTTTTTAAATCTTTAAGCATGACGGCGCATATTCGTAGAGAATAAACTATGACTTGAATCAACATTAATTGACAGTCGCACCTAAAAAGAAAAATTAATACAGTCAAGTAACATTTGCACTACCGTTTGATGGTGATATATTTTTGTGAACTATTGGTGAATAAGTTTCTAGGACTCCACGGGGCAGGGGATTTTGTGCCGCATTCACAAATTGTCTAAGTTTAACTCTTTTTGTGATACCCATTAGATACCCAATCACAAACAATGGCAGCTCCGTAATCGTATCGCATCGTCAAAGTTTCTATGAAAACTAGTCAGCGCCCCTACCGGTCGTAAAAACAAACCGGCTAATTTCATACAATATTTGGCGATGACGATACGATTACGAATTTGTCGAAGTTCGTGCTTGGGCCTCGAGAGCTTAAGCAAGAGTCAATACGACTTACGCATTTTTCTTCTTCATCTATTATAGGTGGAAATATTAGTTTCCCATAAAAAACTTTGAACCCTTATTTTTCCCCTTCGGAGAGTGAGAAAGTTTTTCAGGCGCACACCTATATCATAATAGCTATTTAGGTGCCAAAGGAGACTGAAATTTGTATGGAGGGTGGTAGTGAGTCTCCGTCAGACTTCAATTTTTTATGGGATGTAATGCACTCAATTGTAAAAAGAATTTGACAAAAAAGAAAAAAAAAACCTATAGTGACATGCAGGCTCAGATCACTTTAAATATTAATTTCTAAGCCATTTTGATCACAGATTAATCTGAGCAAATTGCTATAAACGGACAGCTTGACCAACCGTAGATTAATTTCTAAATACAGAAGCTTGACAAATAAGGCCAGTGCAAGTGTGCTAATGTGTGTTTTTTTATAAAAAGTCGCTCATGTGCTATTTGTTAGATGTGTAAACTCAACTTAACGTTGGCTCTGACACACGTTTCCTAAGTAACGTGAAAAACAAGAAGTCTTGGAATACAAAGTTATACAAGCAAGTTTGTATTTTCATTTTCCTCCAATACTGTTCACATGTAATAGAAGTGAAACACAAAAATAAATTGTATCGAAAAATAAATAATAACTTAATAAAAGAAAAAAAAAACAATAAAAAATATAACCGACCTCAGGATCGAAACACTGATCATTTGGTGTCGACCCCAAGACTGTATCCTTTCGGGTATCTGTCTCTTGCAGAGAGTTAGAAAACTACAGGTTCCTTGTTTCAAAAACTGTCGCTTTTTCGTTTCATCGAGTTTCAAATCACAACGGTGTTAAAGAAGATTTCACTTCAAAATATCTTTTGTCCTTATCTAAAAACCAATACTCACCTCCTGTTCTGATTCATCGCGTTTCCGTGGAAATTTAAATTTGAATACAACGCAATGAGATTCTGTGTCGTTTGCAATGCTTCGCGTGTTAACTTCTGTGCTTCCATACATTTCAAAGCTGCCTCAATTTGTTTGATAAGTACTTGCACATAGCAAGAGTCTGCAATAAACAATTTCCTTATTACCACAACAAGTTAGACATGTGTACAATTCAATACCAGTTTCAGAAAATATATATATATACAAAATTTGCCTTAACATAGTTTAAAACAGTATAATTTATTATTTGTAGTAAGACGAAGAAGTTTGAATCATCTTCATCAGACTATTCATGTCCCCGATGGAATAGCACGCATTATTATCAGTGCTAACGACTTCACATCCAGCCGAGACCAACATTTTGGAGGAGCTCGAAATAGTAAATGGTATAGGTGCTCGAAATAGTAAAACCCATCCAATGACTGATCACTGCGAAAATTGCTTAATTTCCACGATCGCAAACAGAAGACGCTAACCACTTGCCCCATCGAACTCCTCAAGTAACATATATAAGAGATTGAAATTACCCAATATGTCTGTTAGTCAAGATGTTGTTATAAACCGTTTTATTGCATCAAATATCACAGAAACAGAATGTCAAATTTATGGTAAACAAAGGTGAACTTATCGTTGAAAGAGATATCTTCCAGGCAACCTAGGTATGGCTTTGGAGACTCTAAGCTTAGCGGGAAACAGAAAGTGCAATAAGAAAACATAAATAATTAACAACTACCTAAATAAGAAATAAGCTTTAAAAAAGAATAATTTAAAAAGTTATTAATAATTCAGAATATCTTGATGAGGGTTTCATACCCATCTGATAACCAAGACAACATTATTTAGTAACAATTAAACTTTACAAAATCTACGAGATAAACAATTATACCTAATAAATAATTCACATACCTTTTTTATATAACAAAACTCCTTGGTCATAGTCCACTTTAAGGTTCGAAGAGTTGCTAACAGGGCAAAATGTTGCCATGAAATTATCTAGTGTTGACAGTTTTCTAAAAAGTCTCAATAATGAGGTTGACACAAATGGCATAGGCCGTGAACCCAATACAACTTTAGCTATATCCATAATTCTGCTATTGAGTTCTGGCATATTCTGGAGAAAATTTACCAGCAAAATGATAAGAGCTAACAGAAAACCGCTGTATAGTACTGCACAATACTGCAAAATAAAAAATCGAAATTATTTTCTCTAAAATTGGCAATGTAATCAACGATATTAAATACCCTATATACACCACGTGCGCTCAAAATGTGTCCCTATCAAGAAGTGCTTGAACAGGACTCAAGCAAGCACTTCTTAGTTCACAGTCACGCGCGGACCGTTTAAAAGTCAACATGCCGCTGAGCTCCGTGAAAAAATGCGATATAAATACTTATAGTATGTAAAATGTCGTTTTTTCGACCAGTATCTAATAAATATTTGTTAATTTAAAGCATTTGTAGCTAATTTTCTTTAAATACTTACTATAAACTGATTTAATAAAAAAAAAAAATGTAATATTCAAATGCATGGTTGGTAATATAGCCGTCCCTTTTCCTCGCGGTCCGTACATGCTATATTGCTAACAGCACATTCAGAATTGCACGTAGACTCAAAGAAATAAGGTCTATTTTCTTCCGCATATAGCAAAGTCTTAAAATTTTACGAGCTTACATCTCGGACTGTCATAACTCTTTGACGCATGCGTTTTAATTACGACCTTATGCAGTGTGCTTTACAGGTGATTTTCATTGTTTAAATAATGCCTTAATTATATTGTTTAGACTACGCGATCATCTTACGGAGCTCCGTGAATCGTCCAATGTACCTTTTGGACAGGTTTTCGGCATGATTTTGTTCGTGTTGGTGTATCTAGCGTATTTTATATCGTTGAATGTAATTTTAATAACGTCTATCTTCTAAAAAACAAAGAAACTAGTTATAGTTATGTTTTCACTTGATGGTTCAAATTACATTCTGTAATTCAATGAAGGGACACAACCTGTCAAGTAATTTTTTTTAAACCTAATACTTTCTTGGTCTTTTTTATACAGAAAAAAGGTAAGAACGTCGTTATTAGATAACATTTAATTATAGTCAACATTTTGCAACAAGGCGGTGTGTGATTAATTTATTTTCCTATCTATCATCTTAATACTTCGGGTAGGCAGAGATAATTTTTACATGTCTGCCCAAAAACGCGTACGTAGTATGTTTCTCTATTTCTCTATAAGCAAAAGGGTTAGATTTAAAATTGAAAATTCCATCAACTTACTGTGCTGTCTAGTAAATTGCATATCCTATTGATACTATCTACAAAAGTTACAAGGTTGCCACTACTTTTGTTTGATTGTTCTTCGTACATTTTATACATTTTGAAACTCTCAGGAGATTCTAGAATGTAAGCAGCTACCGCAGTCAACCTCCGGGACACAATTGCTTGTTCATCCTTGTATAAGGCACTAGAAACATAAATATTTATCTTTTTTATAATCATCAATATGATAAGAAGCTCGATGGTGCAGTGATCGGATCGGCTGGCTATAAGATTGGTGACCAAAAGTGATCCCGCACCCGGGCCGATGGTCTCAGACTACCGGGCGCTTCTTCTCGTGCCACCCGGGCGGGAGGGCAGGTTGCGGATAGCCCAACTCCAGGATCGACCGTTTGAGTCGATCCCACAACCGGAGTGCCTTTTTAAGGCCCCGGACAAGAGAAGTTCCCGAAAGCCAAATCCCAGGCCTAGGGTTACCTGCGAGAACGTCATCTCGTATAAGAAGGCGGCAGAGAGGGAGCGGGAGGATGATCCCCTGGCCGCTCCCTCCCGCCGAAGAAGAGCGGGCAGGAGAGAACGAGTGCACGCCCTGGCTGCGCCCGTCCCATGACCCTGCCCGCGGGGATCCTTAGCAGGCCGGTACGGCGCATTGTGCCGTGCCGGCCACCGAGGGATCCCGTTACGGCAGCCCCCCTCTTTTAGTTCTGTCCTGCAAAGAGGAGGGCTCAGTTGTTGACTAATATTGCTAACGACAATAGATTGACCTTACAGTGGATTAAAGGATACAGCGGCTCAAGGGGTAACGATGCGGCGGACTGCTTAGCTAGGGAGGGGTCCAGCAGGACGGCCATTGGTCCGGAGCCAATTATACCCATACCCTATTGACAGCTGCGAACCTGGATAAGGGAGCACTCTCAGCGACAACATGGCGAATACTGGTCAAAACTCACGGACTGCAGGCAAGCTAGGGAAGCCGTTCCTAAGGTAAACCTGCAGCTAACACGTAAGTTAATCAGACTAGCTAGACAAGCCCTAAAACAAATCGTGGGTATACTCACGGGTCACGGCTACTTCAACAAACTCCTTTGTAATATAAGTATTTCTGACAGCCCTTTGTGCAGAGCCTGCCTCTGGAGGAGGATGAGACGAGCGCCCATGTCCTACTGGAGTGCAGGGGCGTTGCAAGACAAAGGACTTCTCTAATGGGAAGCCCGAAGACAATAGTAGAGGCCTGCAGCAACATTCGGGGACTGCTGAGCTTTCTGGAGGAGCTGGGATGGCAGGACTAATGCCACCACGCAAAATAGGCACTGGGTGTCGAGTTGCGGAAACAGCCCGCCGTACTACTACTAAGGGGAGCTCAGCCCCCACGCGCGGGCTATCCTGCGCACGTCTGCTGGGTCCCCGTGATACCCCGGGAGACCCCTGCCGTGGAGCTAGGCCGGGTGGCTGCTGGGTGCAGAGAATCCCGAGAAGAATCCCTCAACGGGGATCCCGCGGGTTCGCACTAAGTATCTTAGAGGGTATTTGCAGGGTTTATTAGCGGATAAATAGCGCAGGTTACTTTGGCGGTTAGCTCCATCGTGCCCGTGACGTTTGCGAGTGCTGGGTGTGAGGTCCGTTCGGCGGTGTGCTTCTTAAAGGCGCCGGCCGTCGTCTGTAAACAGAGGTTTTGCCTGCGTCACAAAAAAAAAGGCCTAGGGTAACCAAAACCCCACGTGCCATGATCTATTTCCCAATTTCTTCATTCCTATTTTTACTTTCGGTCCATGAAGGGAGGTAACCTAATTTCCAAAAAAGCCCATGTCGCAGAAGAATAATAATTTTCCTCAGGTGGGCTCGGCAACGCCCGGGAATCCCATGCCAACTCGTCGATCTGCTCCCATCGTAATCGTAAGCTTTTAATCGTTTATATACCCACCTGCTTCTCAATAAATCTTCCTCATTGATGGATAGGAACACTGAAGTAGACTCTACATACTTCTCGTCCATTTCTTTTTGAAAGGCGTTTGTTACTCTCAAAGTTATTGCATCCAACTCTGATTGGTTGCCTTGTAAAACTGAATCTATAGCACCAAATAACTGAAAAGTAAATAGAATAGTTACTCCTAGAAAAAAACAAGAAATGCACAAATAAAAATAATATTTTTTAATTTCTTGGCATACTTCATGCAAAAGTAAAATGAATTAAGCCTGAAAATATTATAAACACAACTAAATCTTTGATTTTATGATAAAGTTTTCATCATTACACAACATATTTAATGGCAAAATGTGCCTTTGGTCTGTGAATGCAAATATTAAGAAATTTTCTCATTGGCAATTTATAAAAATTGGTTACTGATTGGGAGCTCAAATACGAGATGCTTTGAATATGACATGTTTTTAGTTATCAGCTGTATTAGAGATGTTACAGCTAATATACCATTCAGTTTGTATGTCTCTGGATATTATTTTTTTGTCTTCCATCGCAAATGGCAGACTTAATGCCGTAGGCATTCTCTACCAGTCAACCATAGGGTTTGTGGAGATTTTAGTGGCAGGGTGCACAACTGAGGTGGAGATCACATTTTTATGGGTGAATAAATATACTTTTGATTTTTTATAATTTTGACACATATAGTAATAGTAACTTGATGTGTGATACCCAGATTAACTTTTGTAGTGGTAAAGTTTATAAGTAAACACTAAGCATACAAAGATCTGTTTCCCAGTGCAGTATTTGCATTTAAAAGTTACACTTACATTAAAATATCTGGCCTTTAAGCTTTCACCTTCTTCTTTCCTAGTAGCAATAACAGTCAAATCTTCATAAATGTCAGAAAGATTTAATTTAGACCTTGTAGTGTCTTTGCTTGTTACTGGTGAAGAAGGTATTCTATGGAATGTACTGAATATTCTACACTTGGTTTGTGAATAATCCGATTGCTTTTGTAATTTCTCATTGTAGTCTAGTATTGAATGGTGCTGTTGATCAGAGTTTTCCAATATAAATGGCAAGATTGTTATTAACTTGGAGTTACCTGAAAAAATATCAATGAATAACTATAATTCTTAATCTTGAAATTATAATAATTATATAGTACATTTACACAAAAAAAAAAAAAAGTTTTAAATGCAAAAAAACAGCTCACCAATTCTAGCAATTTTATTCAGTTTTATAAAAGCAGCTTTATCTTCAGTTTGTATTCCATTTGAAATAGTTTTGACATTTCGTATCTGTGAAATGATGTCAGTGGAAAATGTCCTATTGTTATTTCTATGACTGCAACAAAAAAATATGGTAAGTTACTATGTGGGCATTACAGTGATTATCACAAAAAATATAAAATAAAGTGTTGCAATAGACTGACAAATCTAACAACAGCAAACACTATATTTTGTAGTATGTGTTATACAACAATTTGAAAGTAACATTGATATCTAAGCTGTGATAATCAAGGCTTGTGCAGAACTTATAAATAGGATGCAGAAGAGAGGACTACAAAGTCTAAAATCTTTTAAAAATTATGCTGTGTCTATAAAATAGATGCACTATTTATTCTTCTGTTAGTTTTATGTAAGTGAAAAATAAAAATAACACCTGGAAGATATGTCATTATTTGCAACAGTTACTTGAGTCAGTCTTAATTTGTTGGACTCCAACTTTTTGCACTTCTCTTTGACACTTATTATTTCTAAATTTTTGAAATCTAACTGTGTTCTCAAGTCACACATTTGCTTGTTAACAGCTGTGAGCTTCTCCGTCCAGTCTATCTCCATTTGCTCCTGTGCTTTTATTTTATCCATTCTTGCATTATCAACAGCCACCTGACACGACTTCAACTGTGTACGAAGTATTGAAGATTCACCTTCTTTTGTAACACACTTTTCTAATAATTTACCATTTTCAGACTTGAGTTTAGCATTTTCCTCTTGTAGTTTTAATAGTTGTCTGAACATAAAATCTGGATCCTGTCCTTTGCATATTTTGTCATTGAAAACTAGATCATCACCACCAAAAGTTACATTCTCATTTTGACTAGCTTCTACTTTATTTGAGATGCCTGGTAATGGCGAAGAGATTGTGCTGCATTTATTCTTCAGGTGTGTTGTAATAGCGCTGGCTGGGTTACTACTTGGTTTCTTGAATGTAAATGTACTTTTGGAACTACTAGGTGCAGGTTCATATTGTGTACTAGTTTTTTCTGGTTGCATACACAAACTGTAGTCTGGTAAGGTGCTAATGTCATTGTAGGCCTGCTCACAAGCTTGACTAGCCAAGAGTAATATTTCGTCGTCGTTTTCATCTCCCCAGTTGTCTGGTTCTTGAGCTATGCATTAAAGGAAACAATTATAACCTCTAAGAATGTTTCAAATGTTTTTATGAACTGTCACGAAATGCAATATACAAAATGACTTGTAGACGAATAAGATACGTAAATTATCAAAATAATTACAAGGGTACTAACTTAGGGTATTAAATATAAAACACATCCTATTTACCTTTGCTAGTGGTATTTTGACTTAACGGGAAATTGTGGTCAGATATCGTGACATTAAGTCTAGCTTTTTTACGTTCACCATGTTGTTGATTAAATACATATCTTTTAGACATTTTACATTACGATTTGGAGTCTTATGTTCATAAAGAAATCCATATTAAATTTTGCGGATTTTAATTTTGAGAGACTGGCGGTTTTGTGGTGTTAACTGTCACTGTCATGGATATGTCAGTGTCACCTTACGAGTTTTTTTTAAGCAATAGATACGGAGTTTTCATGCCAAACGATTTATATAACTATTGAAATTACGTTATACAATTTTAGTAAGGTGGTTTAGGAAAACCCTTATGAAAATCCTTCATCCATGATTGTATCTATTGTACTTTAATTTTTGTTCTCCCGCTTAAAAAAGTAAGGAAGACCGCATCCAAACATACATACGCTCAATTGATTCACTTTATCTTTATGAATACCTTATTTATTTATTTCACATTCACTTTAGAAATATATTTATAATGTTTTTTCGTTTCGTTCACAAGTCTGTAGGAATTTTATCTTTTGCTTTACAATAAAAAAAAGTATCGATATTTTTTCGATAAAAACCGGTTGGTGTATATCTATGCCTCATAGACAATTTAGGACGCTTTATTTTGATGCTTGTATCGTCTTGTTGCGTTGTCTTTGGTTAGTTCGTCGTGGAAATTCGTTCTAGGTAGACGTGCATCATGTCGGAACCTTATAAACTTGGTGATCTTGTATGGTATGTTATAAAAAACTGTGTCTGGGTGATTTTTAAAAGCAATTTTCGAAGTGCACCACATTAACCAAAAAATTTGCTTTGTTTCAGGGCCAAAATGAAGGGTTTCAGCCCATGGCCCGGCCGGGTAAGTGGCTTTTATAATTTTTTACGTATCATGGAAACTATAACTCTATAATAAGAAAAAATATGTACTTAATTCTTATTCATACTTCTTAGTTTAAAGAAGCTGAACCAAAATTGATCAGTGTTGTATCATGACAGATTGCTTTAAATAGGCGGGAAATCATTCTTCTCCAAGTAAATAATTCTGACTAAAATGCTCAAATTACTTCCTCGCATAATTTTCATTATTAAGGCGATTCTTTATGAAAAGTCATATCTTCTATGGAGTCTAACAGATCTATAAATAAATGTATTTATATATATAACCTAATAGTTTGTGTATTTGGGTGTTTCAGGTAGCTATTCCAACTCCTGAGTTGAAACCTCCCAAGAAGGCTACTAATGTTCAGTGCATATACTTCTTTGGAACAAATAATTAGTAAGTAAACATAATAAATAACCTGTGAAACCAATGATTAGTATGTAAACACTAATTTAACCAACAAATATCCTTCAGAGTAATTCAAACAGGATTAAGGTTAGGAGTTGTTATCTAAATATGCAACATAAGCTTTATTGTATGATACCTTTTGTGGTGCCAGTATTTTATGAAGTAGCGAGACCATGAGTTTAGTAAACTCACTTCCTACATAGTTGCTGATTCAGAAGACTAAGGCCCGTATTACAGAACGACAACTAAGTGTTGATCTTTACTTGAGTACAGTTAGAAAGGGATGTCGCTATATATAGCACATAGCGACATCCCTTTCTAACTGGGCTCAAGACTAGATCAATCACTGAGAATCTTTCTATAATACGGGCCTCAATGTTATCTAGCTGGTGGCTAAAGCACTAGAATCAGCTTCTTAAAAGAGTGTCCGCATACAACAAAAAAATTATTTCATTCACATATATGAATAAATTTCCATGGGCTCCTTACAGAAGGACTCAGCAGGACAATGTCATCAGATTAACTCAAGTTACATGCAGGATGATTACATGTGTAACAGCTGACTTTGGACACGCTGAGTTCATCCTAAGTACATTTGCATAGAGATTAAGGCCAGTATTAACAGAACACTCTTACCTCAGAGAGCAAGACCTTGTAGGAAAACAGCATGTCAGCATACAGGCCTGAATAGGGTTTGCAAAGGGAAACCAAAGTCTCACACCCTAGCTAATACTCTGGAGAAGCCACAACCCTATTTTAAAATCCTTATTGACTGATAGTAATTAAGCATAAATAAAAAAAAGAGAAGTATGAAACCACTCAATAAATTTTGATGGTTTTTGTTGTGTGTAAGAAGAATAAAGGCTTTTTTGCGGTAATTTAAATCCAAGGGATGAGAAAGCATGATAATGAAGTTTATGGGCACCTCCTGTTGGGTAATTTTTGGATATGGTTGTGATTTAGAAACAACAGCTAGAAAGAAAGAAAGCTAAACTCATCAAAGTAGCAAAAACCACAGTGTTATGGAAATTGGAAATAAGTTCCTACATTTTGAAATGGACCCAATGCAGCAATATTTGGGATGGTATATGACATATCATGTTGAACCTAAGACGTGAATCAAACCACAGAGTGACATTAATTAAATCTTTGATTCTGTTTGATCTCAAAAATGATCAACGGTCGCTGTCTATTTTGCAAGCTTCAAAAACACCCACTGGTATCGTTCTGCTTAACACTGCTCAGTTGTGCCAAATCTGTGTTAAACAGCAACTGTTCACAAATAATTCTTGTACCAGATCAGCAGAGCAGATTGTTTCAGTTTGTTGACCCGCATGAGCTTATAGTTCTTTGAATCATTATAAAAAGTTTGTCTTTGTGTCCCGGGTCATAGGAAGTAACAAACTAGATAATTTTCCATTTTGTTTTTCAAGAAAAGAATGTTTATTATTTCGTTTAGAATAAGAATGAACACTTACCATTTTTTATGTATTTTTTTTAAGCATCTAACTGCTAGATGTTTAAATCTAAAGAAATGTTTACTCGAAATAATTCCATGCAAGGTAACGCCATCTCTTCACATTGTAGGAAACCCACAATGTAAAATGAATACCTTTTATATAAAACATTTGAAAGGAGAAATAGAAATTATTGTTTTGTTTTTTATTTTTTAAGCATTTAACTGCTACATGTTTAAATCTAAAAAAAAGTTTACTAGAAAAAATTCCTAGCGGACCAGGCAGCAGACGGGACGGGAACCCGTACCCTTCGCTAACTTTTTTTTCTTAGCCTATCAGGTAGTTGATCAAAAAGTATTGGACATGTATTTTTTCTTTATTCACATAATCAAAACGCAGAGATATTTTGATCTGAAATGTCGCGTGACGTCACGTTTTGGTACAATTTTTACTTAAAAGTGACGTCACGAGCCCCCACTCTCCCAAACTTTCACGCGCTTAATCTTTGTAATTTTTTGGTTGATTGACCAAAGAAAAAATACGTGTCCATTAACTTAATAATCTAACCGACGGACTAAATAGAAGTTCGTTTACTTTACCCCGTCGTCACCCCTATACCTGCGTGAGTCACGATCCTAATGGCTCAATTACACTTAGTCGTTAGCCATTGTTCGGGTGCACGAAAGACATTGTCTCGACTCCGTTCATTCCGTAGCTTCGCTCTGCATCTTCTATCGCATTTATCACGGGGAGTGTTCTGAGGAATTGTTCGGATAAATTCCAGCTGCTGCATTTCGCCATTGTACATCGCGACAAAAATTTCATCCCCATCATCTTGATGCGTGGCTATCCACAACCGTTCGTTTTTGTCGAAATTTTTTACCACGTACGACAAAACTGTGGAATATGTTGTCGCCAGCAGTGTTTCCGGACCGATACGACCCAAAAACCTTCAAAAAAAGAGCATACTCCTTCCTTAAAGGCCGGCATCGCATTTGTGATACTCCTGGTGTTGCAAGTGTCCATGGGCGACGGTGATCACTTACCATCAGGTGAGCCGTCTGCTCGTATGCCCCCTATAACATAAAAAAAAAAAAGAAAATCATCGGAAGGTGCGTGGCCAGTCTTAACCACTCGCATGAATTCTGGCGATCTCGAAAGTCAGATTGATTGGGCACGTCAGTGGTGACGTTTTTTTTTATAGCTAGGTAGGTAAATCACTCTACCCACCTGATGTTGAATGGTGGTACAGTCCAGATGCGAGGATGGCTGGTGAAGGGGTTATATACTGCCACACCAACCATCCTCACCTTGCCGGCCTCAAGGTCACCTCTTTACGAAAAAAACTTTCAGCGATTGTTCACATCCGTTATTCACGAAGGCTAAACGCCAGAGGCATGGCACAGTAGCGTAGTGGTACCTTTTTAAAAAAGGGGTTGACATCCTGTTGAGAAACTACAGATCTATCTCGCTGCTAAGCCACGTCTACAAGTTGTTTTCGAGAGTCATTACGAATCGTCTCGCAAATAGGTTAGACGTCTTCAAGCCTCCCCAACAAGCCCGATTTCCGGAAAGGTTTCAGCACCATGGACCACATCCACACGCTGCGTCAAGTTAAACAAATACCTCAAAGAATATAACCTGCCAAAATGAGAAAACTTTTGATTCGTTGGAAACATGGGCTGTGGAGATCTTTTCAGTGGTGCCACATCGACTATAGCTCATACATCCAAATGCTGAAGAGTTTGTACGAATGACAGTATGCATATACGACCAGACTACGAGAGCTATCCTATCCAACTACAGCCTGGAGTGCCAGGAGGTCTTTACCGCTACGTTGGAAGGCGTTTAAGCTTCGGGATTGGAGCGGAATAGGCATCAACATCAACGGCGAGTACATTACTCACCTTCAATTTGCCGATGATATAGTCGTTATGGCAGACACTCTGGAGGATCTTAATATAATGCCCAATAACCTCAGCAGAGCCTTTCAACAGATAGGCCTTTAAATGAACAAGACGAAAATCATGTCTAACGCTCGTGTTCCGCTCCACACGGTAATCGTTGAGAACTGCACTCAAAATTGTCAGCATATATATTATCTGAGGCAAAAAGTCTACTTAGGTAAGTACGAGAAAGAGGTAAACCGTCGAATCCTCCTCAGCTAGACAGCTTTCGGGAAACTTTACGATTCCTTCTCGTCCGAACTACCTCAGTGGCTGAAGAAAAAGGTCTTCGAACAGAGCTGAAACTAAAGGAGTCGCGAGGGAGCATCGGAGATGGATGATCAAATCAGAAATAAGGAAATATGGAAAGAACTAGAAATGTCGAAATAGCTCAACGGAACGCAAACCTGCAGTGGCAATGGGAGGGGGGGCATTGTTCGGTGGACTGATGGACGCTGGGGTCCCAAGGAACTCCAATGGCAACCTCGCACCGGAAAACTAGTGTCGGTAGACCCCTCCCCAGATGGACTGGCGACATCAAGTGAGCGGGGGCACACACAAAGGTCCAAGACCATTGTGTTTGGAAATCCCTCGAGGAGGCCTATGTCCAGTAGTGGACGTCTATCGGCTGATCATGATGATGATAAATATTCTGCTGCCACAAGTATTTTCGTATCTAGACTCCACCTACACTTTAATCAGGTGGTGTAAAGCATGGAGCAACGATACGAGGAGCTGCTGTTAAGCCAAAAGTTCGGCCAAAGTTGCCCGCCCTCATATCATTGGTTAATGGTTCTAGCCACTCAGCATCAGAGGCGCTGATATTAGTTCGACTCGTATTTTTTGTGGCAAAGATACGAACATATTGAGCGAATACGTGACTGAGTACAATAAATATTTTTACTACAATTTTATTTACCTACTATATTGTAATTATTGGTTTTAAATTTCTATCGATAAAGTCCGAAATCTGGGACAAAAGCCTAGTATGATGGAACCGTACCGTACGGTACGGCTGACTGACCCGAAACATGATCATTGAAGAACGCGGCGATAACGGCCGACGACATCTGTCACACAGTCAAATGGATCTGTAACATCTATACTTATAATATGAAATAATAAGAGAGTGCTGCCGAAGTACTTCGGTTATATTGAGAATTTGGATATTTTCCGCATCATCTATATCTCCCAATCCTTTTTTTACTTATTGATGGATTAAATCTTATCGGCATGTCAATGTTACCTGATTCAGCTGTTTTTTTAACCACTTAGGTGCCAAACATGCTTGCTTCCCGCGTGCCTGATGGTAAGCGGTTACCGTTAACCTATCGATGCTTGTAAATGTAATACTTGAGCAACGATAGCCAAACCTTAAAGGTTTTTTATCTATCTATATCCATGCTTTAAAACCTCTAGTAAAGATTCTGAAACAGTTAGCTTATTGCCAACATTAAAACATCCAATATCATAATAATACAAAATCCCATTATAGCACCCAAACGGGAGTTATGTTGTTGTTATAACACCCAAAGAAGTGTTATTAGGTTGTACTAAATTTCATAATAACACGCCTTCGAACAACAAAGGTGTTTGTTGAAGTAGCCGTGACCGGTGAGTATATCAACGATTTTTTAGGGCTTGTCTAGGTAGTCTGATTAACTTACGTGTTAGCTGCAGGTTTATCTTAGGAACGGCTTCCTAGCTTGCCTGCAGTTCGTGAATTTTGTTCAGTCTTCGTCGTGTTGTCGTTGACAGCGCTCCCTTATCCAGATTCTCAGCTGTCGATAGGATATGGGTACAATTGGCTCCGGACCAATGGCCGTCCCGCTGGACCCTTCCCTGGCTAAGCAGTCCGCTGCATCGTTACCCCTTGAGCCGTTGTGTGCTTTAATCCATTGTAGAGTCAGTCTATTGTCGTTACAAATATTAGTCAACTTACAGTAGCATTCATAAATTAAGCCTGATGTCACTATATTGTTGTACAGTGCCTGTTGGACAGAAGCGCTGTCAGAGAGCGTAACGTTGAACTAATTTCGTGACAACGTGACATGACGTCACACTTTCATGCGTGCAGCCGGTTTTCACCGATATATAAGACGTTATCACGTCTAAAACCGCTTTGCGCGATGGCAATGCAAGTAGCACATTAATATGCGTTATGCCGATCAGCCTTTTACAGGGTCATTCAGATGCGTTCGTCAATTCTGAGCTGTCCGCGGCAGAATCACTATCTTAGCGACTGGACTCTAACCAACTAACAATTAACATCAGGTGTAGTGGAGTAATTTGTTGCGCCTCGAAAAATAAATATCGTCACAAACAGCATACAAACATCTAATTGTTGTTTCCTTCCCAACCATGCAGACGTGCATCCAAGTTGAGCAACAAGTGTCCAAAATAGAGTATTCGTTTTGTAACAGTTAATTTACTACTTTCGCAACAGAATTTCGAACAAGGTGGCTTGTTCGAAAGGCAACAACAAAATGAGGTGACTTGCCGCGTGCAGTGTGTACGCAGCTTAACTTTTTTGCGAAAACAATACAAACATAACCACAAAAAAGTATGAAATAATACATAATCATAATATTATTATATTGCGGTCTTCTCTAATGTGGAGGTTACTTCCTCACACTTGATTTTTATATTATAAATCTGCAGGCGAAAACTTGAATGTCAGATATTATTAATTCCGTAACTTTGTTGGCAAAAGTTAAAAAATACGACGTTAAAAGAAATGTTAAGCATATTTGTTTTTCAAATTTGTTCATATTAAAGGTTGAGCAAATATCGACTTAAAATGGTTTCGTAAGGGACCTTGAATTTTGATATAGCTATAGAATTTTACCTGCTATTATTATTTATACTACGGTTAATGAGTCTTTGTGGTTTCAATAATTTAGTAAATCACCAATAATTTAGTTTTCACTGCAAATATGAGTACCTACTCATTTCATTCAAGCATTCAGTTTGCAACGTGTAATATTGTTAACCCACTGACACAGTTTTTGTATTGCCAGAAATAAATGAATGTTTCAATATTCACAGAATATTGATTTACACAGTTAGGATTCAGTATTTACAGCTTCACTGGAAACCTCTATTATTAAAAAGCTTCTGCCTGCAATGCATTTGCGTAGACTTTCGAATTTTATCTTCACGGTAAATCATGGTTTCGCCTGCAGTAAATTCATCTCTGTTTTCCCAATATTAATAAGGTATGCCCATTAATTTGACGCGCGACTGCTTAATACCATTATCATCATCAACAGCCTATCTTAGTCCACTGCAGGACATAGACCTCTCCAATTGCACCCCACTGAGATCGATCTTGGACTACTCGCATCCAGCTCCTGCTTAATACCAAGTTTCATATTTTTCGCACTGTTAAGGTATTCCCAAAGCAAAAAACATGACGCGACGCGACGCTTCAACTCTGCGCCAGTGTGAGTTAAGCCTTAGGCCATCGAAAACACCTCAGTCTGACTGACGACCGAGCTAAGGAACTTTGTGGACCCCTAGTAGTTTTCAGTTTTCTTGTTTGCCTCTTCCCTTCCCCTTTTCTGTGCGAATCGGATCCAGAATCATTCTTGTTTTTTTTTCATCTTTTCTCTGTAACCAAGAGCTTTTCTTTTTCTACCGTAATCATGTAATTATCAATCGTATTATCTAAAAGCGACCAGTAGTGGCTCAGTCAAACCACTAGACGCAGCCGCCAATCGAATCGAGAGAAATCGAGTGTCACCACTAAGCGACTTGTGGCCGCCACGGTGGCTGCGTTTAGTAGCTTGACTGGGCCACTAGATAGTGGTCGCGATTAGTGGCTCAATATACGTTTGCTCTTCATATCCGTTGCAGTGCATTCCATATTCTTTTAGAAAGCAAGAATCGCGTTTTCCCTTGCTTGCAGTTCTGGTATTTTTATAGTGGCGCATGGGGATGTATTCTGTTTTGCTGTTATTGATTGTGAGCCCACACTTCCATCCTTAATTTTACAGGGACTGTGATGACTTTTTCAAATCCTCTCTTCTTTGTCCCTGCAATGCCCTGGTAAGTTTTCACCTGATGTTGGCCCTTCAATGGCACTCCGCCATCCAGACCAGTGTTAGCACTTTTCGTAGGACGTGTTTAAGTGCTAGACTTAACAACATGGGCGTCAATGCAATGTAAAATAGAATGTTTTAAGCCTGTATCTATTCCAAATCCATCAGTTACTTGATTTTAACCACTGATTTTTATTTTGGGGCTTCGGTCAATATTATCAAATGCCTTGGCAAAATCAACAAAAATATGTGTGATAAAGTATCACACGCGCACATTGCTTCTTCTCGGAGAGATGTTTAATGCCATGTATTCACTAAGAAACAACTGTTTGTAAAAACTGTTTCATAAAGAAAATATGCGAGTTTCTGAAATAATTTAATATTTTTTTGAAACTGTTGTTGTATACACTACGTGTTTCTCGGGATGTTTGTGTCGGGGAGCCGATTGGAGTGGAGAGCATGGAAACATGAGTTTCATAACAACTGTTTACAGGTGTTGACGTGTGTTTTAGTTGTTTATAAACATGCCGCCATGTTTGGGACGTGACAGTGTGGGACGACAACTTCGTTTTTAAATTCATAGAAATATTAAAATTGAGACAACTGAGATGTGGACGGGCAGAAACATTGTTACTGTAAACATCTACGTGTTGTTTTTAATACTACGAAACATAATATTTGTAAAGATAATAATGAATTAATATATACCTAATATGCAATATATTTATGTACACCATTTATAATAAATTGTATTTCTGTTTGCCTCAATAGTGCATGGATTGAGGATAATAACATCAAACCATACCAGGAGTATAAAGAGCAGCTGATCAAGTCTTGCAAGACTGCTGCTTTCAAGGAAGCCGTTAACCAGATTGAAGAATACATTGTACATCCTGAGGTATAATATAAACCGAATTTTTTCTATCTATTCAGCTGTTCTAATCTATTTTTCAAATCTTATGTTGGATTTCAATCAAAAAGTTGTTAAGTGTATGTTTGTATCCTGCTCGAAGGACCATTGGTTCAAATAAGCAAGATAATGTTATGTTCGTACTTCACATGGTAATTAGAGAATAGTCTCTTCTTTTCATTCCTTATAAAGTATTATAGGATATACCATGCAGCTATTAAAAGGATCCATTCTTTTCTCCATACTGCTGCCCAATCTTGTACCTCAAGTGAATTTTAAAAAATCCTGATCGGCAAAATCTTGAATATAACAAAATATTATATTATAAGCCCGTCAAAATATATATAAAATAACTGAAAGGCTAAAAGGCTGTGTACCGAGGCGATTAAATGTCGTTGTCATATCCATAGTTACAATGTGACAAAAACAGTCACATGACTTTTGATATAATCAATCACAAGTCACAACCAAGGATATTAATATAAACCATTAGTATTAGCTGTAATTTGTCAGTCAATGTTTTTTTAAGATTCTCCCTTTTTAGGGAAGGCTAAGGGAACAATGCCCATACATCTTAGTCTTAAGTTATATTAATCTTCTTTTTTATATTAGAATGTCGGTGTGATGCATTCTAATGTTTATTGGAGTGTTTGGCACGAAATGTATCGACTTGGCTTTTTCGATAAGCTTCTGTGAGATAGTCAAAACTACAACAAAGTTCTCACGTCCACTTGATCGGAATAGCGTATATTTTTAAGATTCCACTAAACTTGAGTGGCACAGTCGGTTTTAACACAAATCACACCAATTTTATTTCGCAATATCCACCATGAACGAATTTAAGAATAATTAAAATAAGGCTCCAACCGCACTCGACGAAATCCCACCAAAAACTCTCAGTCAGTCAATATCAAAATGCGTCTAGGTAATAACGTTTCTTTATACGTGGACCCTTTTCAAAACATTTTAATTCAGATTTCATCATCATTTATATTGAATTTATTGAGATTTTGATGAGTGCGTCTTTTTAAGTATAATATTGGATGCTTTTTGAGATAACTTGTACCAACCAAGGTACAGATTTGGGCAAAAATCGAAGGTCTCCTTTTAAATAGCAAATATAAATAGTCATGTGATATATTATAGTTTTACGATCAAGCATACTTCAGAAAGGGGCTGTTCATAGCATAAATTTTTAAATTGTGTTATTTTTATAGAAATTCGGTGATTTGGACGATCACGCTCGTAATGCCGAAGAAGAGTTCGACAAACTGAAGGATGTTATGGATTCCAATGAGGATCAGGAAGTTAAAGCTGAGCCCGAGAAAGGCACCTCTCCTGAAGTCAAGAAGAAAAGTTCTACGCCTAAGGTAGATTGACTAGACGCCTATTGATTTGGAACACATAATCTAAATAATATTTGTTTGATTTCTGGAACTTTTGATAGGAAATACTCAGTTGTAAATCGTCTTCTTTTTCTGGTCTTACTCAAGAAGATAACTTGTTTTTTCGAATTTAGCTTTGTCAATAACATTTAATTGTTATAATAACTAATATAACTTTAAAATAAATAGACTTTTATTAGATTTTTATTTTAAGCATTTAACTGCTACATGTTTAATGTAAAGGAAATTTTGCTAGAAAAATCTACTCAGTCCAGCTTTCAGACAGGATATCTTTATAAACTTAAATTGAACTTGAAATATTCCAAATTTAATTTACAAGACACAATACTTCCTTGTAAATTCTGCACCTAGACTGCTGACTTAGAACACGTGCGATTCTCAACTAGATTTACAGTGACTTTGTGAAACTTCCAAATTGACCGTTCTGGATATTTATAGATACGTTTGGGCATTTCAAAGGTGAAGCCTATTAAACGGTCTTCTTCCGCCGGCCTGAAGGGCACGCCCCGCAAGAAGGGGAAGAGCACAGCGAGCATGTCTCGCTCTTACACCGACTCCGATATCAACGACAAGCCTTCGATGCTGAACCACTCGTTCTCGAAGAAGTCGAGCTTGCTGCATCGCCCGTCTAATATATTGACACCTGTAAGTTAAAATTTGTGTTTTTTTAGATTGTCCCTTTTTAGGGAAGGCAAAGGGACAATGCCCATACAGCCTAGTCTTTAGGAATATAAATCTTTAATTTATTATAGTAATATGTTATTTACGGGATTATTACCATGTACCTTGTTTTTAGCGAGTTTCCGATATTTCGGCACTGTTGCAAGCAGTTACTCCGTGATCCGGAATATCGTAAACACGCTAAAAACAAGGTACATGGTAGCAATCCCGTAATTAACTTATAGTACTATAATGTTAGTGACCATGAAAGCTTAAAACAGTATATATTTATTTACTATTTTATGTGGAGATCCTTGGGGGAGGCCTATGCTCAGCAGCGGGCGTGCGTCGCATGGTTGATATGATGATAACAGTTCTTTACCCAACAGTTAATGCCATAGGCATTCTGTACCAGTCAACCAGTGTGGGTGTATGAGACGGATGTTTTGGCGATAGAGTGCGAGCTACTAAAGTTCGAGAAAAAAAATGATCCTAATGTCTATCAATGTACTGTAACTCGATTAGTAATCGATAGACAGCTGACATTTTTATGTTTATACTAGCGGCCCGCCCTCGCTTCGCTTCGGTGTAGAGCTGAAGTGTATACTACAGTTTTTGTTCTCCGGCTTGTATTGACACAATGACATTCATCTATGATTCTTCTTATACCTGCATGCAAAGTCTCATCCTAATCGGTTTAAAATTGACAAAGTTTCATACAAACTTTCATTCCCTATTTTATCCCCTTGGGGGTAAAATTGATCAAAATCCTTTCTTAGCGGATGCCTTCGTCTTAACATCTACCTGCATGCCAAAGGACATGGTAAAATTTTGTATGAGAGACTGCCCTAGCAATGTATAAAAATTGCACTTAGTAATATTTAATGCTGAATGGCTGAATATTTATAATTTCTATGAAAAACGGCTCAGGAACTTTTGATAGTCACAATCCCGAAAATTATGAAAATTCCTATTACGTTGTTGTACGTGTGTGTTCTGTACCTTGTTATCATTAATAAAAGATGGTGCCAATTATTTACAGAGCCATCAATTTCGTATTTTCTTAGAATCATTCTTCCCGTTTCTCTGATTAACACTTCATAAAAAGTATTTTTAAAGCAAAAATAAATACAAATAATTTGTTGTCGTCAGCCTGACAGCAAATCTGTGATGTTTTATTTCGTTCATTTGCAAAACTTAAAGGATTAATTATCAGACAGCCTTGTCTATAGCCTGATCCGAAAAATAAAATCTATTATTTTAGGCCTTCAGTGATTTATTATAATAAAAATTAGGGCCAAATATGTCATAGCTTTTAGGAGTTTGGAATTAATATTCTTTATTTCGATATACTTACACAAATATTGTTTATGCACATTTATGGTTCATATATTTTTGTAAAACGGAACATTTTCCTTGTGAAACAGACATGAAGTAAATTTTTATACTTTATAATTTGATTATTTCACGAAAGTTGTATGAGAATAGTAAACACGTTAAAATTAATAAAATAATATTATAATGATTTGGGCTAGTGCGAAATAATTATACACGTTAAGGGCAGTTTCTTAGCCATGTCCTTTCAGCCCGAGACGTCCAGTGGTTTGGGCTGTGCGTTGATAGATCACTATGTCAGTCAGTCACCTTTGAGTTTTATATACGAGTATATAGATTGCTGTTGTTGTTGAAAAAATAATCGAACTAGTAAATTGAAAGGGCCTCCAAATAAGAAACGTTTTAAGAGAGGTAAGGCATAGCGGATTTCCCGTTCGAATTGGAGCGCCAGTCTGGGGAAGTAAACTCCACCTTACAGAAGACCACAGTAAAATAACACTTCCTTTAGGTGGTATTGTGTTTATGTCGTTACGTGTTCCCTCGCTTACAACCTGGGATCCTTTAAAAGAGGCGTGAAGAAGCAACATGCAGGCCGGCAGGGTGAGGATGGCTGGTGTAGTAGGTAGAACTGCTGTATCAGCTATCTTCGCGTCTGGACTTCACCTTCACTTAACATCATCATCAAGCGTGATAAAATCGCGATATGATATATATCGCGATTTTATCACGCTTAATTGTCAAATTACTATGGAGTTTGACAGTAAGACGCGATAAAAAACGTGATATAATGTAAATTATGGTGATCATGCTACAGGGACAGGAGCGAAACGTACTGTGTAGCTAAGCTAAGCAAAGCGGAAGAACGAACTAAGCTATCAAAAATACTATTGAAATAGAATCTTCTTATATTTATGTCAAAGAGACATTTATAATAGCTATTATTAATAGAGTACTATTAAAAATTACATTACTGAAAATTGACCTTGTCCAATAGTAATCGGTTTAGATTTTTTAGGGTTCCGTACCTCGAAAGGAAAAGACGGAAACCTTATAGGATCACTTTGTTGTCCGTCCGTTCGTCCGTCCGTTTGTCAAGACCGTTTTTCTCAGGAACGCGTGGAGGTATCAAACTGAAATTCATATCTAATAGGTACATATGTCTACTGTCCCTTGGAGCTGTGAGAAATCAAACTTTAAGCCAAAGCAATCAGAAGATACAGCCGTTTATGCCGCGAATTTTCGAAACTCGCACGGGAATCAAAACGTACAGGGTACTTTCCGTGAACTTTTGGTACGAAGCGAAAACCGTGAATTTTTAGTTACATCATATAATAAAAAATATTTTTGAATATTTTAAAGTTACTACCCCTTTTCTCATGAACGCGTAGAGGTATTTAATTGGGTTTGTACGGAACCCTCTGTGCGCGAGTCCGACTCGCACTTGACCGGTTTTTTTGTCATGTAAGTATGTAGGAATTGATGTGGATAGATGAAACTGGTGATTTTTCGAACTCCACAACTTTGACAAAGCGGTCAAGATATTAACATTACGGGTTTGTTTACTATTTATTTTAAATAAAAAAAAATATGGTCGTCCAATTAGTAAATTTTTAAATTATAGTCAAAGATGATCGCGTAGTCAAAAATAATATAAGACAATATTTAAACATTCAAAGTCACCATTAATGCATAGTAAATAAGGTCTTAGTTTAAACGCATGTGTCAAACAGATATGACAGTGCGAAATGCGAGCTCGTAAAATTTTACACCTTTTTGCTATAGGCGGAAGAATATAGACTTTATTTCTATGACTCTACATCGTAATTCTGACTGCGCTGTTAGCAATATAGCAGGTACGGACCGCGAGGAAAAGATACGGCTATACAACCGACCATGCATTTGAATATAACAAATATTTTCTATTTAATCATTTTATAGTAAGTATTAGCACAAAATTTGCTGCAAATATATTACAAAAACGACACTACGTACTGTCAGTATTTTTTTCGCATTTTTTTCCGGAGGCGGCATGTTGACTTTTCAACGGTCCGCGCGTCACTGTGCACCAACTCAAGCAGAAGTGCTTGAGTCGTGTTCAAGCACTTAATGATTGGGACACATTTTGAGCGCATGTGGTATATCTAGGGGTATTAAATATCGTCGGACACAAACAAAGACGCTGAGCGAGCACCCACTTGTAGAAAATACGTACGTATATCCCATAATCCCGCACGAGGGGTAGCGTTGCGTCGCGTTCATGGGACATACTCGTAGTTTAGCTTTAATCCTAAGCGGGTTAAGCTCAAGTATGAAGTTAGGCGGTAGCGGTATGAGCTTAGTGAAGCGTAGCGGTTGTTATACTTTATGTCATCATTATTATCATCATCCTATTAATGTTCCCACTGCTGGGGCACAGGCCTTCCCTATGGATGGAATAGGGAGATTGGGCCATGATAAACCACGCGGGCCTAGTGCGGATTGGTGGGTGCTAACGACCGCAGATGCAACCGGGATCAACGGCTTAGCGTGCCTTCCGAAGCACGAACTCGAGATAGAAGATTTTTGGTCACCCATCCAATGACCGACCACTGCGAAAGTTGCTTAACTTCAACGATCGCAGTCGAACGCGCTAACCACCCGCGCCGTCGAGCTCCTCGATACTTTATGTACGTCACTTTTAAGGCTCAATACAGGCTGACTACATTTGTTAAGAGTGCTTTGCTCAGTCTGCTTCCAGCTTCGATATTTTTATGTCAACAGAATTTGAACTGCATATGTTTTGCAGTTGTCTGTCAGTAAAAATGGAGCCGACCTTATTTTTATTCGAGGCGCAGCAAATTACCCTGCTTTACATATCTTAAATTATATTAGTCGCGAAGGTAGATAATGCGGCAGAAGGTCTGCCTCCCAGGCCATCTCCACCTTGCTGGAATGAAACCAATCCTCTACCCCGAGGAGCCCTGGAACTAGTGTTGTAAGAGACTCGAGTCTTATAAACCAAACTTAGAGCTCTAGTCCTTCAGAATTTGGAGTCTTTTGTAAAAAGACGGGCACTTTAATTTGAGCGAGAAATCCGCTGTAGCTAACCTGTCTTTATTGATCTGTATAATGCTTATATTATTTAGTTATTGATTTCTATAAAGTTGCTCTAACCTTTTGTCAGGATACTCCACCGCTGGATTTGGAAAATGTATCCGAGACATTGCTGGAGAAGAACATCAAAGCGAGCCAGATGAAGTTCGGCTTCCTCGGGCTGGGCATCATGGGCAGTGGTATCGTGAAGAATCTGCTCAACTCCGGCCACAAAGTGGTTGTATGGAACAGGACGGCTGCCAAGGTAAGTGCTTATATGCCATGTCTCTTCCAATGCTTACTTTATTTCATAAGATCATGAGCGTTTTAGGTCTAACATAAAACAATAACATTATATTATTTATGATTCCATGTCCCTTCCAAATCATGAAGATCTTAGGTGTAACATAAAACAATTAGGTACACAATGGTGTCAATTCTGACACAATTTTCTAAACCTAAACTTAAATTTGACAAAAGTGTATCTCTATACGGAATGTAAAGGAGAGATTGATGTTAAATTTAGTTTTAAGTTTAGAGAATCACGCCAGAATCGACACCAATATCATATTATTATTTAAGCATGATTTTACTAGAATTTTAATTAACTCCGCCTAAGTGTCATATCAGGATGGAATCAAAGTAGTGTCCTTTTGCTATCCGAGCAAATAAATTGACTGCAATGCTACAAATTTATCAATAAATTAGATAGTACCGAAGTTAATCTTCATAAAAAGTGTGCTCGAGCAACCCACACATAGACAACGCTCTAGGACACGATATTTCGGACCGGTTAGGACCAGTGCGAGCGCGAGTTCCAACCGCTTGTGCCACGCGTCTGTGAACTTTGTTGAGCAAAAATGGAGCAACAAGATTTTTTTATTATAACTGTTCAGTGGACGGTTGTTTAAATTCCATATTATATGAAACATCTAAATATGAGTGCCACTACCACAATGCTATCATGTTAGACAATCCTAGCTCGACCGCCGCACAGTGGGCTGAAAATCGCGTTTCATAGACATTTTTTTTAAAGTGCCGTTTTTTGCTTGGAAACGATTGAGAATACCTAGTATATGCTTGATATAAGTAACTTTCAAGTTTATAATTGTAAATAGTACACTTAATTTTTTTTTTCGGAAAATATTGTACGTTGTAGCCATAATAAATGATGATTTATCCATTTTCGCACAATTCGCCTAATATGCTCTTAGATTATTAATATATTCATTATTTTGATCTGTTTGTATCTGTTTTGGCTAGATGCTCCGTGGAAGCCGTATTTTGATAATAAAATGAGTCCTTTATTATTTATACGTTCTATTATAGATTTAATAATTATTTTTACTGTCAAATCAAGCAAAGCTTGTATTTAAATTTTTGCTGAGGAATCTGTCACTGTAACTGAATTTGAAAGCACACTTTCTTCTCTTTTTGCACGAAGTGTACAAATACTTAATGCCTTCTCGAATTGCAGATTCTTGCAAAGTTATATATTGCCAATTTGTAAATTTCAGAGATATCAGTAAACCAAGTGATTTTTGCGGTGAAAACGTTTTTTTTTGGCAAGGGTTAGGAATATAGCACTTAAGTTTTACTGAATTCGACTCGCTTTCCAGGCCGAAGTTGAAATACTTTATCGTTCGTAGTTATGCGTTTCTCGCATTGGGTAATTAGATGCAACTCCTTGTATAAATAATCTCCAGAATTACCGAAGTTACCGATGAAAATTGGTGTAAAGATTGATAAACTGGTCTTACTTGGTTAAATTTAAAATAATTGTTTGATTTATTCTTAAATTCATCGTACAGCACTAAAATAATCAGGTTTTGTGCTCTTTCAATGCGCATTATACATTTGTCTCCTGCAATACTGCACTCCCTGTAGGTATACAGCCCGCAAACTTCTTGAGCATTGACCATAGACAAGGATGCCTGTGCATTAGCAATTTTACATACAAAAACGTGTACTGCACAAGTTTGTCTGTGGTTTTGCTCAAGAAGTTTGCCGCGATCTGTACCGCTCATTCACGTTGAAACTTCTTTCATTATGACAATGTGGCGATGACGTATCTAACGATTTAAGTAATTAGACCATTAACATTTAAAATAGAACTCAGACAGGATATCCGTAGATAATCTGTTAAATTAACTCATTTAGTACCTTAAAAAGTATCTGAATGATTAGGTAAAGTTATTAGCTATAATTACATTAATTACCTACTTCCGAATAGATCAATAAGTATCAATTTTTCGAACCATATGTCAAGTTATCTCTATGTACATTTCACAGTAGTATTTCCTTATCATCATCAGCCTAAAAGCGCTACTGCTGGGCATAGGCCTTCCCTATAGTTAGAATAAGATTTGACCATACCAACCACGCAGCCCAATGCGGGTTGATGGGTGCTAATGGCTGCTGCAGTCTAGACCAACGGCTTAAAGTGCTTTCCTAGGCACGGAGGAACTTGAGCTTATACATTTTTGGTCACCCATCCGATGACCGGCCATTGCGAAATTTGCTTAACTTTCACGATCGCATGCTTGCGTCATCGAGTTCCTAATGCTCTATAGGAAATGAAAAGGAGAGACTGTACAAATAGCTAATGAATAGCCATGTGATTTGATGATAGTTTACATCACTGTTACTATTTAAATACATTTAAATTGGAATTTATTTTATATTATAATATTGTGTTAATGACGAAAATTCGTCTTCACATTATGTTATATATAAAATTCTCGTGTCACAATGTTAGTTACCATACTCCTCCGGAACGGCCTGACCGATTTTTATGAAATTTTATATGCATATTCCGTGGGTCTGAGAATCGGCTACTATCAATTTTCCACATCCTTAAGCGATAATGGTTGTCCACCTGTAACGTAGTCTTCTGAAACCTACAATGCGCCTTCGCGCCAAAATGCAAACTATTGGGTATTGTAACGTAGTGTTCTCATATGGGTTAGGAGGACTGTTATCCCAGGAAATTGGTAGAACACTACGTTACACACAATTTTTTTGGACATTTTTTTTAATGTGTTGTAAACAATACATACAACTCTAAATTTTCTCTTCTACCACCTGCCCCTTTTTTATGGCGGTACGAAGTTTGCTGGGTCAGCTAGTTAAAGATAAAATAAGCCTAAGTGTGATGTGTATGGAGATGGATGAAATAGAATTATGTATGACTGTCTATTGTTTTACGAGAAAAATGAATGTGAATCCTCATTTTTGTAATTCTTTGTTTTACTAATTGCTGTAAATAGTATTATGCCGTGGTAATTATAAATAAATTTAAAGGGACTTCTTAGTGATATGATAACTCTTTTCAGCATATTTAATGGTATTACTTTTAAGAAAATGACACAGTTAAAAAGTATTCAATTTTATTATAATGGTCAAAAGTAGAAAACAGCTTTTGGACAAAAACAAAAATTATAAAAAGTTCCTTTTACAGGGCCCGATAATATTCCTATAGAGATTGTGTGATAAATAAATTTTCAATATTCCCCCTCGAATCATAATATGATATCTCTTACGCTGCTGGAAAAATAACAACTACATCCAACCTAAACATAATATCAGTATCAATAGTATCAATTACTATTTAATAAAAAAACATAGATATTGCACCTATTTCGGGATAGATCATCTTTTATGAAAATAGTTTTTTACACTGCTTGAAATTATGATGATTGACTTTAAAAATGATCAAAAATAGGCTTTATCGTAACTTAACATAAAGTTTAAGACTGCTTCTTCATTCCCTTAGAGGCTTAATTGGGGGCTTTTAGTTAAGAAGTTTAAATCATAAAGGAGACCTTAAATTTTTGCCCAATTTTATATCTTGGTACAAATAATCTCCAAGCCAAATCTGCGGCCAAGTGTGCAATGTTCGTATAGAATCTTTAGTTAATCTATTCGCGGTCGTGGTCGTGGCCGGCTAGTGCGCAAGGTGCCAAAGTGGGTGCAAGAAAAAGAATAAATTGAGCATTGGAAATTGGAATAACTCCTTGGCAGCCAGAAGCTAAAGCCAGAAAGTACAGTTTATACACAAAGTGGTGCTGAAAGCCATTCTGTAAAATAAAATCTAACTATCGAGCTTTGATATTTCCCTATTAAGACATTACTTATATTTTCATCGTCACACGGCAAAATGTCGAAATTAAAAAAGTCGTTAAAAAAATATTAACGAAATTCCATAGTGTGATTTCCATGTTACACGTATTTTACAACAGAAGCTAGAGTCGGGTATGTCAGAAAGAGAACCCGACCGAAGCGTAAAATTCGCTCACTCACAGACTGCTTCGGTAACGTGGAAGTAAGAAAGAGATGTATGTAGGTTTGTCAGAAAATATCGTCGTGAATTAAAAAATAAATATGTTCGAACCAACCAAGCCATGTAGAAAAGTATATGAAATGGGAGAATGGCGACATGGATATACAGACGCGATAGTGATAGGATGTAGGGGCCGGGGAAAGACTGCTATTACCAAGGATACACAATCTGTACACCAAGCACGAACTAATAGCGAGAAAGTATCGCCATGTCATAGTTTCTATGGACACTAAACAGCGCCCCTACCGGACGTAAGAACAAACTAGCTCTTTCCATAGAATCTTTGACGATGGTTGGGTTAAGGTACTGGATGTAGACAACGTCAGAATCCTCAAAAGGCGGCATGTATGAAAGTAGTTTTGAATGTGAAAGAAAGTGAAAAGTCAGTCAACTCAAAAACGGGATCGGGACACGGTATAGAAATGTGTGTGGTGTGTGTAGGGTTGCCAACCCTACTATGAAAAACGATGCGTATAGCAAGCGAAACTCCTATATTTTATCTTAAAGCAGACTTTTGCCAGTAAAAGCTTTCTTAAAAATAAAAATTTAATTATTAAGGTATCCAACAGCATAAATATATTCATTTCAAAATAAAGTAAATATTTTTAGGGGTAACAGCTTCGAAAATACTAACTAGGTGTGTTGTGTATGTCATTATTATATTTGGCGTGCTTTTTAAAGCCAAAAAGCTTTCCAGAAATTTTTAATCAGAATCCTACAAGTATAATCGTTATATATTTTCTTTTGCAATATCAAAAAGCTGCATACCCACTGAGGCGCTCACATTTTAGTCGCGTAGGTTAATTAATATCCTGCATGACAACATGTGGGTCTAAGTTTCCATTGCAACACGCGTTACACACGACTATGTACTCATAAAACGCAGTTTTGAATAATATGCTTTCCTCGTTCGTACCACCTAGTTACTTCAATAAAACTACACACATGTATAAATAATTATGTACCGCGTGTACAGCATTCCTAAAGAGTTGGGCTGCTTGGTTGCCATATTCCAGCAAGCGAAGTGTGTACCAAGAACGGCAATTCTTGCCTACCATGGTCCTAACTTACGGTTTTACTGCAAGTTGCAGAAGACGTTATCCACGTTAGCTATTACACATTTCGTTGCAAATCGTAGCTATTTAGCGACACACATAGAAAGTAGCCTCTACGTGCGCAGCGGTGGAGCGGGCTGAAATTTGGCATGCAGGTTGATGTTATGACGTAGGCATCCGCTAAGAAAGGATTTTGATCAATTCTACCCCCGCTCTGACTTAACTCATATAATGGTTGAAAAGGAGTTAATTTTAAATTAATTCATAACTAACCCGTTTTATGATGGTTCAGCATAAAAATTAAGTCTACCTATTATGGTAGGTAGTTCATATGATTTTTGTAAATAATGACCATAGTAGGTAATAGTGTGTACATGAGCATTTTTAATTGGTCGGATTATAGTTTCTGCCTTTCATAATTCATTTCCTCATCTTTATCATAACCTAATATCCTTTCAATGAGTGCATTGCAATAAAATGCAATTTTTATCAGATCCAGTTGTGAATTTTGATATCGAAATTTAACAAAAATATCTACATAATCTAAACATTGCTTTGAATATAGTTTAATTTATTGTTAATTGGTTGTTCAACTATGTTAGTTTTATTCAGTGCATGTTGAATGTCCTAATGATGTGTCTTCGCGTCAATAAATTTCTGAGAATTGATAAAAGTGTTTTATTTGTTACATAGCGAAGTGTAATTCATTCATTAGGTACAGTTATTTTATGAAATAAATAGTAACTATGACTATTTCTGATTATTTAACTATCATAAAGCAATCGCTGGTTTAGTGATTACAGTTTTGACTATATACACTAGTTTTATCATACACCGTGGTTGTTCATTGAAAATAAGTCTTTTTACCTATGAAAAGTATATATCAACACCAAATATGTAGTTACAAAAGGGGAGTTTCTCTTGACGATAATTACTCATTGCGATTCACGTGTATTTTTTTAAATATAAAGCAAATGTGTTGCCAGGATTGAAAACATTTTATTAAAATAAAAACCTTTCAACATTTTATTAGGTGAAAGTATAGACTTGATGTAAAAAAATAAACTCTTGAAGGGGTCGGGGTACTTCCATTTTCAGGCGATAATAGTAGGATTCTCTTAGATAGTAAGAGTAGACAGACACGCAGACTGTGTCAGCTTAACAAATCATTCTCCAGAACTGATAGGTATACTAATAAAAAATAAATATTCGTAAAATAAAATAAGTGTACTCCTTTGTTATTACAGGCTTGACCGCACCGCGATATTTCACCGCGTGATTTTTCTTTATATTCCGTGACGTTATGCCGCACGAATTTTTTTATCGCCAGTGCGGCTACTCTTATAAAGATTCGATATGTTACAGAATCACGAGAATAAAAACGCCCGGTGAAATATCGCAATGCGATCAGGGTTTTAACTATTCTACTGTTAATAAACTGTATATTTAAGTTTCGAATTCATTGTAACTACGATAACTTTGAACAAACGGGCTCCTTGCCCGTCATTAAGCGTTCCAAGTTTTTTGTAATTTTAATCAAGTAAGCTGGTCACGTTAATTTATGGGGTTTATTTATTTATTAGGACTACCAGGTTTAGCAAACAATACTCAACATTTTGATGTCTCCGTGGAAACGTAGCGTGACTCAAAAAGAAGTAACCCACAAAATAGAAACAACTCTTGTACTCATAATATAATAATTAGCATAACATCAGTAACATAATTTCATAGATTTTTTTTCAACTTATTACAATTTCGCACACTGAAAGTAGACGTAATGGTCGAATCTTTTATTTAATTGCTATTATGTCAACTCATGAACTCCAGTCCTCAAGAAACAGTTTACCCACTTTTCTTACTATTGTCAGAACATTGGGTGCGTTTAGCCGAAAAAAGGCTAAGCTGCATTAAAAGAAAAATGGTGATTGCTAAGTAGCACTGGAAAAAAAATATAAAATAACAAAATAATAATTAATATATAATTAACTAAAATATATAATTTTATTGTTATAATTGTTAATTATTCTTATAAAAATTCTAGCACTCATCGCTAACTTCAGTTGAATCAACTAAAGTATAGTTACAGCCAATAATACTAGTTAGCATAGTCTAATACTGTCAAGCATTCTCGAATGCTGCTTAGCCTTTTTGTCGGCTAAACGCACCCAATGTTGAATTCACATATCTTCTGTCAAACAATTCATTATTATTATTATGCAAAAGTGGTGAAAACCAGAAAAGGTCGTATGCAAAGGCAATATAAAAAAGTGGTCTGCAAACGTCAAACTCATTTTATTTAGGTAATGCACCAAGCTCACAGCGCACTGGCGGAAATGAGTATCTAAAGTAACAAGCTTATGAGGTATAGTGAATATATGGCGGATGAGATTTTCCATACAAACGCTTATAAAGACAAAGTTAATTCTGATTAAATTTTTGCTCTGTTCATCGAATCGCAAATGTAAGTTAATTGACCTCTTATAATCCTTGATCGCAAAGGATATAATATCCATCGTAAAGTAATATGTATGCTTGTATGAATTCTGCTCAAAAATAACAATATCGGTGTATAGTACTTAGGCTCTCAAATTTCAATGCTGCAGATTAAGACATTTGTTAATTTTATGATAATTTTATTTCCCCGTATATTTATGATCATTTAATTTCCCTGCATATTCTGTTTCGAGCTGATTATGTCATAGTATTATTAAGAGTAGACAGTAGCTTTTTTTGACTAATTAAATTTAATGTTAACTCCATTACAAAACAAGGTTATTTACACTTTCTTAATTGGTTTCAAAGTGACGAACGAGGGATGACTAATTAAGTGTTGACATAATTTGTCTGACGAGTTAATTTTCTGAATATTTTAATAAATATAAAACTATATTTTGAATAAAATGGTTTAGAAATAATACAAAAAATACATTTAAAAATAATTTATTCTTCATGATTAGCTGATTACTCTTGTTTATATATTTAGAAAATCTTCAACAATATTTGTATACTTTATATTAAGAAACGTTATAATTATCATTGCTGGATTGTAGTATTTGGCATATCACTGCAAGACTCGTTTTGTTCAAACTGTACGTTATTAAAAAATATATATGTAGACATAAATATAAATAATTTAATAGGTTCTATAGGTCAATTTTAGACGAATGTGAGACGACAAAGGAATTGAATGTGTAGTGGAGTGACGCAGTGGCGGCTTAAGGGATACACCAACGTACAATAACCGCGCAACAATTCAACAAGATCGTAACAACTTCATTATACCTCACTTTATTCTACTGTTAAGTTGAACAAATATAAAATGCATAATACTCTAAGAGTTTACACTAAGTATACATCAAAATGGAAAATGATCGAAATAAAGACGTATTTACATGACCTATGTTACCCACAGAACACTTAATTAAACGGGATCAGATTCACTACACGATCGATAACAGATCATATTTAGTATACTCCTTACAACCTACCACTAGACGAATCGGGGAAGCGATCGTCTAAACGTATGTAAATTCAAATCTAGTCTATCACAGCTCACTTAGAAGTACAAGCGGTGTCCGCATCGGCGGCGAGCGTCCGTAATACGGCCAATCGTTTCTCACTAATGAATCAGCTCGGCAAGATATGTTCCTACACGTAAGAGGGCGACGGCCCACCGCCATAGTCACAGAGGCGCATGTCGGGAGGGCGGTGCCGCGAGAGTCTACGGCCAGATAACGCGTAGATTTTAAAGACACGCGTCAGTAGCCTATACTACAATGGTGTGTTCTCGCAGAGCTGTGCGCATTCGCCGCATACTAGTTGGCAGGCGGCGTGCCGCACCTGGCACTCCGGCTTCGTCAGCTCCACCGCCAACAATACCCGTGCTTGTTCGTGCGACGCATTAAGTTCAGTCTCGTCTCTGTCAGAACTCAGCTCCGGCGAACTAGCGCTCGAAGGCAGCTGACATCTCCGTCGCCCTCTCTCGATTATCACATGGTCCCGCCCGAGCAAAGGCTCGCTCGACGGCTTCGAGGACTCCCCGCGATTGCACTTCGGCTGGCGTACAGGCATTCCGCACTTGGACGTCGTCGGCGAGGGAGATCCTGGTGGCGTCTGTGTTTCCAATGACGGTGGAGGAGGTTCGCACTGCAGCGGTTTGATCATCGCCAGCAGACGCGGCGGGCCGCGCTCGATCATGTTGATGTGGATCCCATCAGGAATGGTTATGGGAGAGTTCCTGCGAGAGTTGACCGATCTCTCCGTGGGCGTGTAGTACACGGATATCTTGCTCTCGTCGTCTATCGTATTCGGTAGTTGCGCCAGTTTCTCAATCTTAGTCTTGAGGTACATGTCTATCACCTCCACGTCGGGATCGAAAGCCATAGAGTCGCTGTGACCGCAAGAACCGCTGCGGCAGTTCTCGAAGTACAAACTGGGCAGATTCTCCAATACTTTGTTCAAGGTCTGCTGCTGGTACTTGTATGATTCGCGGAGCCGCAGTATCTGGTGAGCGCTGAACTTTCTGATTTTGTTTCTTTGGAATACGTAGTTTTCGCGAACCCAGTTCAGTTGACTTGTAGAGTATTCTCTGACGCGTTTTACCTGCATACCAATTATAATGTTAGAAACACATAAGGCACCACATACCACTTGTTAAAATTGAGTTAACTATGCTGTGTTCGTAATTGTAACACTTTGTAAATACAGTTTATCACAGCAGTAAAGCATAAAATGTTACGTCCTAATATTCCTAGTTTAAGAGATGTACATATCTCTAAAACTAAATATACGCCTATTTACATTTTGTATTACTGTTAGATAACTGTGAATAAACTTTTCGCTTAATAAACAAAGAAAGAGTACTGAGTGACACACTTCTCACATTAATTACATGTATGCTAAAAAGGAAAGCTAATTAAAAAGTTCCATTGTTAAAATCGTTAAACAAAATATTACCTGATCATAATACTGGTCTTTCATTGCTGTCAAGTGATTTGTTCCTATGTCTCTTATGTTACGTAAATGACTTGCTTGCGATGAGTAGCTATTCTGTATCCATTCCATTTGCTGAGTACAGTTATCCTTTATACGATGAACCTAGAACATTTAAAAAGAATATATAACTCTGATTATAATAACGAGAAAATTAAGTGATAACACTTTACTCACTTGTATGGCATAATTTTCTCTCAGCTTATCTAACTGTAGTTTCTTGTACTGCTCTATATTGTCCAACATGCTATAAATTTGCCGCGTACGAGGCGCGTCTCTACTGACGCAGGTACAACAACTACAACATGTCTCCAATAGGCGGAACCTGTAATTAATTAATTATTAATTTAATATCACATATAATTTTTAAATTTTTCATCAAACTGTAGTACTAAATAGTCGAAAACAAAAATATATCTGTTAAAACTATAATTACACATTGCAGTTCATAGTTATAAATATTTTTTGTTTACTGACCTGTGAAATATATATCTTATAAATTGTACCAACAAAGTGAGGCCTAGGAATCCTGCAGCACAAAGCGCTCCACATATCAGACTATATATTTTAATCTCATACATTGTCATAGGATCTATGTTTAGTATCACCTCCGCCGACACGTTGGCGGAAGGATTCGTTGCAAAGCATAAGTATGTTCCACAGTCTTCACGATGAATATCAGTAATAAATAGCGATCCATCGTCAAGAATTCTGACTCTAGATTTCCCATTATCTATAGGGTGATAGTACTGGTCGTGGGCTATTCCATGTTTGTGGAATATGTCTGGTATCAAAGGTTCAGGGTTCCAATGGTATACTGCACTCGTAGGTGTAATCCAAGTTAATGAAGGAGCTGGGTTCCCACTGAATTTACATTCCAGTAGGGCATCTGACTGCAATCTATACAAAGTCAATGGGCTACTGTGAATTAGTTCAGGCTCTCTGCAATTAGTGTGTCTCAAAATCGGTAACATATCATTAGGATATGATAGAGGACCACAGCTCAAATCAGATTTAATAATCTGTGGTCTTTGATCCACCCAACTGGCAAACCATGCCATTCTACAATCACAAGCCCAGGGATTGTTAGAAATTTTCAATTCCTGTAATTGTTCAAGTTGCTTCATAGACAATGGCAGAAACGATAAAAGATTTGCACTTATATCCAAGCGTGTAATTGATGGTGTATCTTGAAAAACAAATTGCTCTATTTCTCGTAGATGACTGTTATTTCTTATATACAGTTCCTGTAAATTACTTAAGCCTTTGAAATTTGTATTCTGTATAACCGTAACTTCAGTGTGTTCAAGGTAGAGAGTTTTTAAATTTTCATTATGATGGAAGATCATTGGTGGTAACAATCTCAGTCTATTTCCTCCCATGTCCAACCATCTTAGATTTTTCAGGTTCTTAAAAGCATCGCTTGATATGTTTTGAAAGTTATTGTAGCTAAGATTAAGATTCCTCAGTAGTTCAAAGTAATCAAACATATTTTTTGGAATATAATCTAGTTTGTTGCTTGATATATCGAGTGTCTCCAATTTATTCAAGTTGACTAGAGCATTAGAAGTAATTTTGACTAGGCTATTATTATTTAGGAACAATGTTTTCAGTTGTCTGTTAGGATTAAAATAGAAATCTAAGAATGAAGCTATTCTGTTAAATGATATATCCAAATACTGCAATCTAGTCAGTGGTGCAAAGACCTGGAATGGAATCACCTGGAGATCATTGTAAGATACATCTAAGACTTCCAAATTTTCTAGATCTGTGAATGTAAGTCTAGGTATATCATCAAGATTGTTCCTCGATATGTTTAAATGTTTTAACCGGGTAAGTTTGCTAAAGAGTTTATTTTCAGTTCTTTTGATTTCGTTTCTGGTCAAGTCAATGTATTCTAAATTGTACAATCCTTCGAATGCACCTAATTCTATGTATTTTATGTTTGCATTTGTCCAAGTGATCTCTTGGAGGTTGAAGCCATAGTTTGCAAGGAGTGCCCGTGTGAGATTGCCCCCTTGAACATGAGTGGAGTGGCATGTGAGCTGGGTAGAGTCACAGGAGCATGTGGTAGGGCAGACATCCGCCTCCACAGCTGTGCAAATAATTGCCAGCACCAATATTTTGTGCTGCCAATTCATTATATTACAACCCACATAGTCCTATTTACTGTAACAAAGAAAAAGTCTAAGCTTAATTAATTTTGTTAATGGAAGTTTTCAAGATATTATCTTTCAGATAATATACCTATCTCTAAAACTAATATCCTTGTTTTCTGTCATGGTATGAAGATAAATCATGTAATGAATTGCTTTTTATAATCATGTACAATCACTGTTTTAAATTCTACTATTTTAATTATTTTATAGATTACTTAACTAATGTTTGATAGAATTTTCTTGAGGTAAATTGTTTCTGAAACCCATTATATTTTCTTGTATGATTCTACATATTTACGGCTATTAATTGTTGTAAATAATCCATTTATTTCTTGCAAACAAATCAGTTTTGTATATTATTGATAAAGTTACACATCAATAATATGTAAAACTGATAATATTATTTAATTAATTAATTTATGTTTTCAGTGCATATTACTGTATCCATACAACTAAACATATTATTATTGTTATTTATCATTATCTTCAGTTTTGATTAATCTACTAGACTAGAATAATACATTTATTTATTTGCTTAAATGTAATAAATCAAGTTTTTGAATAAGTAGTATATTCTAATAATCTTTTGTTGTAGAGACTGTCTGTACATTGTAATTATTAAATTAAAACAATCATCTTATTTTATAAATTACTATGAAATAGTTTTTTCTCGTACTCTCTATAGTGAAAGAATACTGTGATAGTTTCGAAAATGTCACAATGATTTCTAGGTACCACATCTGTTTTGTGGTTTCACGATACTGCACATTTATTGAAACGACGTGTTTATAAGAAACCTAGATATACTATGCAGCTACATACTTTTCTGGCTCACCTTACACAAGACCGCACTGTTAGCAATGCTAACTCCTAGAAAATTCCCACTTTTGTTTAGATAGCACACTTTCTCACTAATACACTTGTACAATTATACTTTCAATGGTATTTAAAATACAATTTACCTAATACTCGTTCACATTTTATTCCAACTTGGCTAATCCACGTTATTTTGTGTTGACAACAGATGCGACCGAACCAGCCATATTTCGTTTGGGAGCCCTTCACTTCACTATTAAGACACATTAGATTCCATTGTAGACAAACACAAAAACCGTATACGCGGTAGTTTTACAATATTTGCATAAAATTTAATACATAAATTTCACAAGTAAAACGAACAAGATTTTCGCTATTGATAATGAAATACGTTGTCACTACGACAGAGTCGAGCACTAGAAAGAAATAAATGGCGGACGTCGGGGTTGCGCGCGTCACTGTCCCGCTCGATCGCATGGAATTGAAGCATTTGCGTCTCGCTCGCTCGTTCGCCCAGTCAGCTGTGGGGGACGAAAGCGGCCGAGTGTAGCCGAACAGAGGCGAAAGTGCTTTCGGAAGCGCGCTCGGCGTTCGTGAATCGTGCCGTATCACCCGCTGTCCGCTGTTCATAGTACGACGCATTCTTGCAAGTAGATTTGGTACATAGGAAAGGAAGATGCAATTTTGCTTTCTTGGTCTACCTATCTTAAAAAAAAATTAACATTTATAAAGGTCTCGCGCAAGCAACAATAATGAAATTTGCCTTTCAATTAATACTTATAATGAAATAATGAAGACGATAAAAAAATACTTATTTTAGATTTGAGTAGGGTACACCAACATAATTAAGAAAACGTCTATTTTGAACGTAAGCATCATCAGCCAATGAAAACTTTTAACTGAAAGAAATTAAAAATAAATGTAAACTTCAAATATTTAAGAACTACTTAACTTCTTAAGCTGATGCGACAGAGAAGTCTGGAACCTTCCTTACCAAAAGAAACGCAGTATTCTCCAAGGTGGAAGCTCAGATCAAATAAAAATTAATAAGATCTGAGTGTGGAAGTTTCTTCCCGATAAAGCTGTAACTAAATCGGAAAAACCACCATGAGGCCGTGCATGATCTTAAATATTATACCAAAGTAATTAGCGATATTGAACCTTTTTTTTTGAGTCTCCGTTTTTTCGGAACTGTTGCAAAGCCATGATCACGGAGAAGTTACTCCATGATGACCACGAAATAAAAAAAATCCCGTTCTGTTATCTGAGATCTCAAAACAGAGAAGAATTGCAAGATCATTATCATCATTAAGAGGGGAGGCGGGCAATATTTTTTTCATACAAACGTTCTCGAGTGATTCCACCTTGATTTTTATCACTAAAGAATTAATTGTCATAAATAAAATATAATTTTACTCATTCTATGCTCCTATGTCTTCCTTTCGATAACTTGTGTTTTAAAGAATCTTGAAGCCCTCGAAATAGACCAAACATAAACAAATTTTTATCACCACTAAAGACGTCTAGTGTGGAGATTGAATAAGCATTTACAATAAAAGCAAAACAATAAATTTCTTTTACATTTAAGTATTATCTCATTTTCGAAGAGGAAATCGTCGAGAGTCAAACCTAGATTTGCAATTTTTATACGCAATTTTCAGGGTTAACTACTGTACCCTTAGCAAGGACCAATATCGAATTCGAATAGTTTGCGAGTGTGAAATGTCAATGTCAAATTTTGTATGGAAACTTGAACAGCAACGCCACTAAGTACATAACGAGAACTAAAAATCAGTACACATTTGACAATGACATTTCGGACTCGCAAACGATACTAATTCGATATTGGTTCGTGCTAAGGGTACAGTATCCTGTACTGATTTTTAGGTCTCGTTACGTACTTTGAGCCGCTGCTGTTCAAGTTTCCATACAAAATTTGACATTGACATTTCGGTTTACAAACTATTCGAATTCGATAATGGTTCGTGCTAGGGGTACTGTTGTCTCTATCGCACGGTATTTGCCAATGCGTGACAGCAATAGTTTTTTCAAATACCTTTTTCTCATATGCCTCCCAGGTCGCATCTGCTCTTAAGCTATTAAACTCTTATGCTATGGAAATTGTTAAAGTTTGTACTACAACGTACGTACTAGGTACTTACTTTACCTTACCTATTTATAAATACCCAAAGCCGTAACAATTTATAGACATAGTATTTGTTTGGCCATTTCTCTTTTAGACGGTTGTTTATTAATTATAAAAGTTGTTACCCACATAATAAACTTAGGCACTGAAGCTGAGAAAAATTATATCAAATCAGTATTTAGGGTGGGTACATAAATTAATTACAGCAGAGCACCACTTTTCGTAAATTACGAGACAAAACTTTTTATTTGTCATTAAATAGGTAGGTACCTCCCGACAAACTGAAATATTGGATTTCATTAAATATGTAATTATTCAAGTGCCGCCTATTACAATACTAAATACTCAGGTCTCATTGTATAATAATTGAATGATTCATTTGAAAGAATCATCAGGTACTTACCTACGCAGGTATGTCAACAATTTATGTAATTTAAGCGATGGTACACCTTCGCATTGTTACTCTAATTTCATTCTTAACCATTACATCAAATAAAGCAGATTTTTGATTACTCCATTCCAGTTCTTTTGTTACGCGGACTACTTGTTCTTAAGGTATAATAGCCAGATAACTAAAATCAACCTTAGTGATATTAGGAACGTTTGTCAAGATTTTTTTATCTATCTAAAAGTCCATCAGGCTTCTATTTTTTGTTGTATAAAACTGTTGCTGACAACCACAACTCGTGTGGCCTCGTGGTCAACAGCCATAATCTATGGACATTCGCTTACAATACTTACTTCGCGCCAGAGGCCTAAGCACAAACTTTGACAGGTCCGTATTTGTATCGTAGGTATCGTCAAAGTTCCCAAGAAAACTAAAACCACGGTAAGCGAACGTACAAAGTAGACCTTTCCATCCGCGCTTTGCCTTTCAGGGCTGCCAACCTAAGAAGTTTTATCCTCGTACTTATGCAGGGAAAAATCCCGTAACATGGTTTTCACCCCCCCCCGTTTTAGTAAATCAAAGTAACATAGGTATAGGCCAACGGGTCAACTAACCATAGACTGTAAAGAAATGTTTATAGTAAAATTTCCTTTAGGTTCAAACTTAGCCAGTTAAATGTTTAAAATAATAATATACATAGACTGGTTTGGATACTTACGATTTATGCTCCAACATGTTGCCTAGAATGCAAAATCATGTTTTAAATTTATCTCACAAAATATCGTACCTACATAGTTGTACGAGATATTTAGTGTTCTCGTCCCTCGTAGGGAAGACCAGTAATCACGTATTTGTACGAGAAATCTTGTACGGTTGGCAACCCAGTTGCCTACTCTTGACTCTTCTCTATCCCTTGATTGACACAATAGGACCAATATCGGAAATCGATGGATTTTGGTCCTATTGTATCAGTAAAAAAAACAATGTTTTGTCAATGAAATTGCACACATAATGTGCTCATTTGTCAAACATTAGATAAAGGCTAGACTTACATTTTTGCCTATACTGGCACTCCGATGCGACCGTAAAATCCTCTATATGCCCTACCTTGATGAAATGACTAAACGAATAAACAAACGACTTTCCTAATATTGCAGTGGTGTTAATATTAATTACGCGATTTAAATTTAACAATACTTTGTTGTAGAAACACTTACGCAAGTAAGTACATATATGTAATGTGTCATAATATATATGTACGTTTTGATAATACTTTATCACATAACAGATAGCTTTAGCTAGGCGTACTCTGAAAAATAAGGCTTCTGGCTGATGTTGAAACAGCAAGATTAGCCTACGTTAGTTATTTTTAATGTGTTCTGGCTATCATATGGTTGTGGCTTCATTTCATATTATGGAGTTTAGTTGATATTATATAAAAGCCATGTCTGTGATATAAAGAATTTTCGTTATTTATAAAAAATACGAAATGAGTTTCTTAGAAATTCGTTTAATTAACATGTTGTAACATTGGCCTACAGTAAATTTATTAAAGTAAGTGTGAATGGGAATAAAGAACACTTTGCTAATAAAAGGAACCATTGCTTTGTCATGAAAATTCAGATGTTGGTAATGTTATAAAAATAGTTTTGGTATAACTGGAAAAACAACGTAAAACCGTGTCGATCTTTTATGTGAACGTTGCAAAATCATTAATTTATAACAACTACATTGCATTGTTATCGCTAAAAAGTGATAGAATCATCATTTTTCAAACTTAAAACCTAATGACTTTTCTGTGTGGCCGTTAGATCTACATATTTTCTATATCGACCGTCGTCTCACCTCACCTGAAAATGGTCGCGTATTGTTAGCAATCTGTTACAAAATTGCTTTTTTATCAGTCCCCTGATGACACTTTCCATTGATTGATGTCATTTTGAGATTAGCAGGATTAGCATGATATATTAAATATTGCCATAGGTACGTTGTATTGTATCCTATATAATGGGTTTTTTTAAGAAGGCTGTTATTAAAATAAAAATTGCATTAAATAGATACCTTTTTTCAACCGACCCAAAAAACGGAGGAGGTTATCAATTCGACGCGTATATTTTTTTTTATGTTTGATCAAGCAAGCATAACTTTTTACAGAGTAGTCCGATTTTGATAATTCTTTTTTATTCAAAAAAGGTATACTCCGAAGTTGGTCCCTTATAATAAATTTGGAATAAATCCTATTTTTAGGGTAGCTCCCCTACATGTAAAGTGGGGTGATTTTTTTTTCCATCGTCTACCCTATCGTGTGGAATATCGTTGAATGGTTCCTTTAACACGACTTAGAGGTTGCTAAGACTATTTTTCGATTAAGTTGGGGATCCGTTTGTGAAATTTTAAAGTTTAAAGTAAAATTTTTTGTTTGAGTAGGAGGTCCCCCCGCCCGGCTCCTCTAAAAGCTAAACTATTGGCTTGAAAAATATGAAAAAGAACATGATAATAGATACTGCTTTTCATGAAATTTGTTAGAAAATTATGACGGTTAATATGGATCAGTTAGTTTAAGAGTATTTTTTTTGCTAAAATATTTTTATTATTATTCTTAAACAGTGAGTACTTTTATGAATACTAGATCTTCTAACCCTCTGGCTCTGTACTTGTACTATTTTTTATATACTCTGTGGCTCCGGGGAAGAAAATTAAAGTTCCATTCCCAAGACTTTAGTTTTTGCTTTTTTTAGTTACTTAATGTAATCATTTTTAAAGGCGTTTGGCGACTCCGGCTATACAGATTATGGACTGGAATGCTCACCTTTGTTTGATTTGGCTTATATTTACCTGCAACCTCCGTACCCTCTATAAGAAAAATAATAGAAACGTGAGTGTCGAGAAACACTCGGTTGAAACAAAGTATAAACATAAGTATAAGACACAACTACACATCTATACATATAATAAAATGGTAGGAAAGTCCAAACTGTACATTGAATATTTTTTTAAAAGAATACTTGGGGTGTGAGCTGCAATCGATACCGAAGCCAAAAATATAGTTTTTAGAATTTTTGTCTGTTTGTATGTATGTGCGGGATAAACTGAAAAAGTCCTGCATGGATTTACTTCAAATTTGGCA